ACATGGTCGGGTGCCTGTGCAAACAAGCTGCTAGCCGCCTGGTCCGCGTCCGTCTGCAACCTGTCCCAGCCAATGGAGGACATGCTCCAAGACGCCGCCAGCGGTGACAGCTCCTGGGCCCCTCCGCTCGTCGCCCCGGCAGCAGCGGTGACGCCGCTGGCTCTACAGCATCCATCTACCAGGCTGACGCCAAGGAAGCCACCCTTGCTGATAACCGGGCTCAATGGCTCTCCGTCATCGTCGAGGCCCAGGACCAAGGCGCTGCCTTCGCCGTCAAGGCCCGGGCCCCAGAAGTCGTTCAGCAGGGTGAGAGACGGCAACTCCGCCAAGTGGTCACCCACCGCGCCACTACCGGTGTGCAGGGTCCCACTGCGTCCGGCAACATTTGCCATGCCGCTGCCAGTGCTGCTACGCCGCGACCGCGGCTGCAGCTCTCCGTTGCATAGCGGGCTTCCACTTGCCGCGACCACAGCCGGAAACTCCAGGGGCACCGTCCCGGATTCGGGTATGAGCTGCTGGCCGCGGTTCGGGTCGAACGGGAGCACTGCGGCGGCTTGTGGCCAGCGACTTGTGGGTGTGTCGGAAGCATCAAGGAAGCCCCGCCTCTCAAGGAGGTGAGCGCCCGTGTTGCTCCTGTCGCAGGTCACCCTGATATTGCTTGCCATGACTGGACCCACGACAACGGTTGCGGCGTCGCATCGGCCAGCACGGTCGGCTGGGGATGCCTGGGAGTAGGGCGGCGTACCGTGCGATGCATCGGTCCCAGCCCTGGCAGCTGCAGCCGCAGTCGGTTCATTCAGTTCCCATGAGGTTGTTGCCGCTGCGGATGTCTGTCGCTTCGATACTGTCCTCCCTTGCGAAGGCGATGGCCGTGGCGATAACCGCCCCCGGCGCTGCTGCACCTGACGCTGGCCAACCGACAACGGTCGCTTCGGGTTTAGCCGGATAGCACCCCTAACAGAGCTCCGCGGCGACTTGGCGCCGCTGTTGCCGGATTTTATAGTGCTCGAGGGCTGCCTCGCTCCCTCCCTCCAGCGCCCTGCGATGGCGCCAGCGCCTGCAGCTGTGGCCGCAGCAGCTGCAGCCGCCGTAACCACCGCAACTACGGGCTCTGCGTCTACGCCTTCCATCAATGCAGTACCTTGACAAGTGACACCTAGCTGGGCAAGCCTGCTCGGCCCGCGGGCGTTGCCGCTATCGCCGCTGACGACTGCGCCGCGGCCTGTAAACCCGTCGGGTTTGCTCCAGCTGAGACCACACTCGGCTCTGCTGTGGTCGCTGCGGCCATTTGGGCCCCTTCTCTCGGCCGCGGCGTGGCTTGGGGATTGCATGGAGCCCCATGGCGGATCATTCAGCACCTGTTGGCTATTGTCTTGGAACTGATGCGACTGCTTGTGCAGTCCTGGCGGCGGGGGTATCCGGGAGCTACCTGAAGAATGTGGAAGCAGGGAGGCACTCCCGCCCTGCCGTTGTGAGGTTGCGGCGTCGCTAGCGGTGCCGCCACTGCTCCGGCCACCAAGATCAACGTGCCCGATAGCATCCCAAGCTACGCTCGCAGGCGACTGCTCCTGCAGCCGCGATGGCTGCTGTTCTTGTTGCTGTTTCTGCGGTTGCCTAATCCTGCTGGTGCCCTTTCTACCGTGCCTTTGACTGCGGGGTCCGCTAGGGATTTGCAGCTCTGGCTGCAACTGCGAGTGCGACAATGCAGGACTGGAGCGGGATGCAGCGCGGTGAGCGAGTTCCTCGTCCTGGGACCAGTCCAAAGACGACCAGCTGGCCGTCGCGGTGGACCGCGATCCATCGCTGTTGGGAATAGTGGCCTGAGCATCGCCAGCGGCGGCGGCATCCTGCTCTCCATCTGCGCCTTGCAACAGTGGTGCGAGCGCCTCTGCCCTCGCCCTCTCCGCCGCCAGCCCCGTTCCCCATGCAGCCTCGCTCTGCCCACCACCGCCTCCAATCAGGCTCACAGTCCGACCGGCCAGCTCGCTCCGAAATCCACCCAGCGGCTCCGGGAGCACCTCAGGACCGCACGGCCTCCCTGAGCACCACAGCCCCCTGCTGCTGCTGCTGCCACCGCGGCCGCCACCGCTAGAGCTGCTGCCAGCGCAAAGCTCAGCCGCGGCGGTGGAACTTAAGCTGCGCGACGAATCCCATGGACCCACGGCCAAGAGCGTGACGCTGCGATGGCTCAGCCAATCGGAAGCTACGGGGCCTGACGGCATTGCCCTTGAGCTTTCGATCTTGCGAGCTGTGGCTGCGGCTAATGCGGCGGCCGAGGCTGACGGGGCTCCTTGGCATGCTGGGTTCAACTGGAACGGAGAAGGCGGCCGGCCCGCGCAGGCGCCATGACCCGAGTACGCATGGCTGTCAGGCGGGCCGCGCGCCGTCATGGCGTCAAGCGCGTGTGCTGCAAGTTGGAAGGGGTATCAGGCCCAGACGGAGGGAAGAGACGGGAAAGGCGGTTCAAATATATACTTGTCACGATTCACAACTAATTACAAGCACGAGGAAGAGTAAGAGCGAAGATCGGGGAGCGGAGTGAAGGGGTAATGGGTTGCGCGTGCAATGGCCCGCGACCACGCATGTGAGAGGTACACCGGTCCGGCAGTGTGCCTGTAATCTCCAGTATAAACGCTCTTGAGAGAAGCCCGTAGGACGGCTGGCTTGTGCTTTTTTGCTGCGTAAGCTTCCCCAGCTCCCATCCGTTTAAAAAAGCCGTCCTACGGGCTTCTCTCTAGAGCGTGTATTGCAGCACGACAGCAGCACTACAAGGGTTTCCTTCTGCCGATGCCACCACGAGGGTTCCAAGCAGCAGCGATGCTCTGCACAGCCGCCCTGGAATCCGCAGTGCCCGGGTCTAAGTTCGTTGTTTCCAAACAAGTGACAGCCTCACCTGGCGCGGCCGCGGACGACGCACCGACGACGTCGTGCATCCTGTCAGCACGCTCCCAATCCGCAGCTGCACTACTCAGCGTCCCCGTTGACAGCGCCACAGCCGCCACTCGCCCGTAGGAAACGCCAACCGGATGTCCGGCGCCCGAAGGTAGCGCCCCTACTGGCGGAGAGGCAGCTGCCGGCCTCCTAGCCTCTACCTCTCCGAAGCCACCCTGCGGCATGCCGGCGCTACCAGCTGTCCCCCAAACGCTCCAGCCGTCGCGTACTGCCCGTTCCGTCGCGTTCGTCCCGTCCTGGGCCTCCCATGCCCAGGTCGGTGCGTTACCGGCGACGTCCGGTGCAAACATGGCCGCTGCGGCAGTCGCTGCCGCCAGTGCCTCCGCTGCAGCAGAGGCAGCGTCTACCGGTCCAACACCAGAGGCCGCCCCTAGCCCGCTCAAATCAGCGCAGTTCCCGGAACAATTCTCCCGAAAGGAGGCAGTCGACCCGCAATGCAGCTGCCAGGCTGCGCCTGGGCCCCAAGCCCCGCTGTTGAGAGCTAGGAGGCCACAGGAAGCCGCCAGATCACGCCAAAAACTAGGTCCGGCAGCTTGTAGGAGCTGACTAACATCAAGACCAGGCCGGGCTTGGACAGCCCCTGAACTGCGGTTGACGTCGCCTTCGCCGCAGCTGCTGCCAGAAGCAGCCGTGGCGACGAAGTGTCGTCCGTCCTGTCCGGCAGACGTGCAGGTTGTGCCGCCCGCGGTGGCCCGGAGCCGAGACGCCGTCGTGGTGGAGATGGCCGCCGCTGTAGCGACGCTAGAAATAGTACTGCCGCTGGGGGGTGACTGCTCGCCTGGCATTAGGGGTCGCCCTGGCGCATAGGCCCAGCCTAGTGCCAGGGCCGCAGACGACACGGCCGCAGCCGCTGCGTCGGCCGCGGCAGCCGCGCGACGCATTGCAGGCGAAAACCCTTCCTCGCTGTCATCTCCATCCGTGTTCACACCGCCTGGCGTGGAGCCACACTGCAGGCGCGAATGTGACTGGGCCTGCCGCGGCAGTGCTGGTGTCGGCTGTAACGGCGGAGTTGCACTGTTGGAGCGGCTGGTCCCGGGCCAGAAGGAGCCCTCCCGCTGGGAGTCCAGCTCAAAAGCAGGGTTGTTATACGCATACCAAGCCGTCGCGGGGGCGGCAACCGGCTGGAGCCAGGAAAGGCTCTGATCTATATCCGCGTGAGAAAAGGGTATCGGGCTCAGGAGTGACGCTCCAGATGGCAGAGATGGAGATGCCCTCGTGGAGGCTGCGCAGACTGACGAGCCGTGCCGGAGTGCGGGGCCATCAGCGAAAACACCTGATGCCTGTGCAGTGCATGCCGCCGTTGCGTTGCCATTGTTGTCGCCGTCGCCGGCACCGGCACCGCTGCTGCGGTTGCTGCTTACACCACTATTCGCTGACTCCTCGTCCAGCAGACAATGCGGCTGCGGGCAGCCCACATCGCGTCCCTTTCCATGGGCCCGGCGCGCAAGTCCACACGAGGCACCAAGATCCCCGCCTGGCAAGCGCCCTGCATGCGGTTCTGGCAGCATGGGTTGAGCCTTCACGGCATCGTGCTTGCCACTGAGGAGGCTGGTGGCCGGGCCCGGGACCGACGCAGCCCCACTACGGCCATAGCAGGTGTTAACACCAACGCCTCCCGGGGTCGCAAGCAGCACATGTGCACGTCCAGGTTGCAACAGCAGCGGCTGCTGCCGGGTGGACTGGCTCCGGCTCGCAGCCTGTTCCATGGAGTGCAGTCCCCGTGGCCGGGCTTGGTTTTGAGATCGAGCAGTGTCCTGGTGGCCTTGCACGCCCTCACACGAATCCCGTGAGGAGCGCGGCAGGTGATGCAATGGTGCTTGGTTGCCGCAAAGAAGCGACGGCTGGGAGCTGCATGCAACCCAAGATAAATCCGGCTGTTCGAGCACAAGGTTACTGCTGTTGCCGCATCCGATACTCGTACAGCGGAGGCGTTCCTGTGTAGCTGTTCCAGGTTGCTGTCGCTCACAGTTGCCATCGGTGGCAGTGCAAGCGGCCTTAATGCCCACGACGTTAACACCAACAATACCCGTGTTGGTAATCGGTTTTCCCAACGCGCCTGCTGAGCGTGTTCGCGCAGCAGCTCTGTCGTCACCATCACTGGTTGGTTCTTCCGCAGCGACACAGCAACTGGTTCCATCAGCTGCGTGTACCCAACCATTATCCGCTTCACCAGCGCCGGCGAGGCGCGGATACACCTTTAGATGTGCAGTCGAAGCATGGATGTTCTGCGCACCGAGGCCCAATCTGCCTCCGAGGGATTTGCTGTTTCCCGCTTGATCCCTTGGTGCTTGAGAGTCATGAGCGAGCTGCGACTCCAAGCATCGAACCAGAAGCAGACAGTCCACCTGAACGTGATTTGGAGCTCCGGATACCCGCAAATATGTGTGAACCCTCGATGCAGCTTTTAACGCTGTACATATCGGGGCGCTGTCCGTGAAGTTGCAGGTGCGGCTGCCGCGAGCTGTCGAAGGGCATTTCGGAGCAGCTGTCAGGGAACGTTTTTCGCGCTGCAGCTGCAACTCATGCTGCAAACCCCAGACCCGCCTCCTTAAATGCTTAGCCTTCCCCAAATGTGTCCTTGCCTCCTCAAACCGCAGCAAAGGGTGTGAAAACATCCCAACTGGGTCGTCTGCATAGCTAGCACCCAGTGACCGCCCTATAGGATATGGAATGAATGCGAATGAAAGTTACAATTACAGTATCAGTAATTAACATCCTGCGTTCAGTCATCGCTTTTGCTTGAGGAAATTTCCAAGATCGCGCTTCTGCTTCCGTAGAGCCGCCCTTTGCCTTTCCGCGTTTGCCGCAAGCTCCGAAGTCACGTCTTTCTCAATCGAGGCATCATATTCAAGCGCCCTGTGGGAAATCGACCAGGGAGAGGAGCCAGATAGTCGGGTGTTGTAGCAGTTTGTAGCATGCTAAGTTCCGTTGTGGGTCGCTGAGCCCTAGCGTCTTAAGGTCCGCATGTTGCCCCTCTAGCAATGAGCAACACCGTTGTTTGATGAATTTCAACAGGAACGGCATAATCTACGTTCCCTAGCCCCGAAGGGCTCCTCAGTCCGGACTCACAGCTTTAACGCGTCCGCCGCGTCCTCGTAGTTTCCAAACAAACTCAGCGCCTTGCCCTTGCGGAAGTGCAGCTTGGCGCTTTCGGGTTCGTACCTGCCGCGCAAGGGAGGCGATTTGCGGGAGCTGTTGCGACAAGACTTCGGGGCCGCCAAAGCGCAGGGCTTAACACGATCTGGGTCGGCGGAGAAAAAGGTGTCACGGCGACCGCTGCGTCCGCGTCAACTCGCCCTAGCGGCAGCAGCAGCATTGGCACAACAACTGGCCGGGTTAGAAGCACCACACCCAGCCCTTATCCGCCCAATCCTCAGAATCTCGTCACCCTCGAGACCTCCTCCCCTCGCCCCTCCTCCCCGCTACCCCCTCACACTCTATCACCGCACCGCGCCTGCCCTCACTCACTGCAGCCCTTTGTCACACGCCGCTACCGCCGCCGCGTACTCCTCAAGGTGGCTGCATGTGAGCGCCAGGTTCCCCAGCACCGCCACCTTGTAGCCGTCTATCCGGGCGACCTCCTCCTGGCTATCGAAGTCGCGAGTGGACTCCAGCAGCCGGAGCAGCCGCTCGTACCTGCGACCCATGGGTCACTCCAGGGGTCAACCTGTGGGTGGCTTGACCTTGTCATGCATTGTGGTTCTTCTTCCGACCTCAAAGCCAGAGGCCCCCCAGTCCCTTCCCCTTCGCCACGCCAACCTTTGACCCCATCATATAGCACATTACCTGTCTTCCCGTAGCACTCAACACTGTGCGTCTTGGTGTGAACGCTGCTAAACCGTCTTCTAAAACAGCGCGTCTCATACCTCAGTCCGCCAAGGGGCCCCTACGGATGCTGCATCTTCCCCTCACCCGCGGTCGTGGGTGCCACCCTACTCCAGCCTCTGTTCTCCTCTGGCCTTCCCCCCATACACTTGCCTCCCTGGTCCCTACCCACCTGGCCCTGGCGTACTTATACTGCCCCTTTCGGAACAGCTCATTGCCCTTCGACTTGAGGCGCTCAGCCAGGGAGTAACGCTCCTCAAAACTCAGGTTCTGGAGGGAAGTCAAACCGGGGGGAGGGGAAGGGGTGAACGGGTCAGCAAGGGGAAACACACACACACACCGGCTAAGCCACACGCACAAGAGGGGAGGGTGTCAGGCCGCAGCACGGGCTCGGGTCAAGGTGGCTCTGCTTACGCTCTCAGGTACTTCTGCAGCCGGGTTGGTCCGGTCCGTAGGTGACGTATCCGGGAGCACCCACCAGCGACCTGGACCGCCCTAGATCCCCCCCCCCACACACACACCTCCCAGCCCGGCCTTACTCTCCCGGCCCCCAATCCACCCCACCCCACCTGCCCACCTGCCAGTAGCCCTCCCTCTCAAAGTCCAGCAGCTCCACCTCAAACTCCACTGCGCCCGCCTCGCTCAGTCCGGGGGGAAGGTCGAGGCGGCCCAGGTAGGCGAAGCGGGGGGCAGCCACCACCCGACTCACCTCCCCGGGCACCATGAGCTTCAGCGCCATCTCCAAACCCTCCGGGAGCTCACCACAGCCTGGGGAGGGGGGGGAAAAGGGGAAATCCTATACCACCAACCGCCCATGTCCAAGGCACCGGCGGATGGAGTGCAAAGCAATGATGTAACAAGGGGGGAGGGGGCCCGGCCGGTGTTTTAGGCGGGTGGCGGCTGATGGCGGTGGGGATTCCCTCCCCACCTCGCTCACCAGTATCCGCAACCAGCGGTGCCTCTTGGACCCGCCGTGAGTCATACACCCACACCTCGTCCCCCTCTCCGCAGCCGCTGCCATCAGCCTCCGGGACATGCGGCCCTGGACCACCCGCCTCCACCTCCGCTGATCTCCCTTCCTGCTGCTTCGCCTTCCTGTCATGCCCGCCCTCATCCGGGCCCTCAGGGCCCTCAGGCGCCTGTTGTCCCTCGGGCTGCACCTGGTGCCGCTCAGTAGCGCCTAGCGGTCTGGCCTTGTAGTGCAGGTAAACGGTGGTGTCGTGCAGGGGGCAGTCTACGGGGAACTCGCCCTCCCCCTCCCGCAGCCGCTTCTTGGTCACCTCGCCCGTGCCCGTCATGTCACGAACCTGAAGGCCGTCAGGGGGTGAGGGTGCGTGTGTGCGGTGTGTGTGTGTATGTGTTGTGTGTATGTGTGTATGTGTTTCGGGGGTGAGAGGTTCAAGTGCAGGGTGGGAAAGGCGGGGATGGGGGCTGAGATGGCGGGTAGAGGTCGTAGTGCAATTTGGGGTCACACAGGTCACGGGCGTAGGAGGGCCCATGACAGACAAATTACCTAAACACAAAAATGCACTCGCATCGCCACCGCTACCCGCACCACCACCGCCCCGTGTTTCCCCCGCCGGCACCTGCACCATGGACAACAACTCAATCTCCAGCTCCACTTGGCTGCACCGAGCAGGGGCCGGCGGAACGAGACAAGGAGCAGCTGCCGACTGCGCCGGCCGCCGCCCACTACCTCGTTCATCTCCACCCGCCGCACCCAGGACGTCCGCGTCGTCGTCATCATCATCATCATCATCATCATCATCATCGTCATCGTCATCGCTGCTGCTGCTGCTGCTGTTACTGCCGCCCTCTCTGGGGCCCTCTCGCGCTGCGCCAGTCCTGTCCTCGGGCAGCATTCCCTTGGCGGGTACGACATAACTCGCCAACTCGTCCTTGGACATGTACGACAGCGCCTCCTCCACGGCTGTGGGGTAAAGCGGCACAGTACGACAAAAATGCACACAGGAGAGAGGTCACAACTCCCGGTATATGGTCGGGGGGAGGGGGCCCCGTAGGGGGGATTGGAAAGGGGACTAAGCGGGCCGATAACCTCATTAATTCGAATCCGAGCAGCGAGTTCAGCACCACCACCTTCCCCACCCTGGCAGCGGTGGATGACCGCAACGACCACCTAGCCATGCGGCCCTCTCACTGGTCCTCCCTCCCACTGACCTCCTCTACCCCACCTCTATCCAGTGACCCACCGACCCACCTGGCGGCAGCAGCCCCATCCCCAGCTGCACCGTCAATGGCCGGCGGCCTGCCGTACTGTACAGCCGCTGCCCCGTCAGCTGTATGCCGTCGTACGCGGGGCAGCGAACGGTCAGGTGCAGAGTCACCTGGCGGGGTGTTGGTGGTGAGGGCGGGCGAGGGGATGGAGACGGAGCGGGAGGAGGCGGACAGGAGTGGCGCAGGTAGCTCGGCTGTGTGCGTCCGTTGGGTTTTACCCCGGGGGATCTCATTTCTCAATGTCGGGTTTACGTTACGGACATTTGGACTGGTTTTTACATTGGTGGCGTTGGTTAGGCGGTTGCAGGGTGGGTTGATTTGTTTTCCGGCCTTCTTCTTGGTTTCTGTTGGTTTTGACATCGCGCTATAGTTACTGGTTAGGCCAGCCAACATAACACGCAGCTCGCTGATGTGTCAACATAGGTGCATAGCCCCTTCTTTTGAGGGAAAGGGGGTCATCCTACCACCGCATACCCCACCAATTTTTTCCTCCCCCCAGCAACCCATACGGAGAGGCCGGGCAGGGCAACGAAAAACAAGGAGCTCTTCTTTACCATTATCCAACCAAACCCTGATCTCAGGGCACGGAACCGTGCCGTACCTCAAACGGAGGGCGTGGACTCTCCCAGGCCGCCGCCTCCCGGATGCACCGCTTGTACAACGCATCGTTGGCACCGTACGGATGTACGGCGGAGGCGGGATACCAATTTAACAGCGTGATGTCGTATCGTAGGGGCTGCAGGTGCGCGTGGGGGAGGTTGGGGAGGATTGACGAATGAGTGAGCGCGGGGCGTGTATGAAACGGGGTAACCTCAACGGTTAAGATGCCCCCGGCCATTTGGGAGCCTCCTGGGCGACTGGAAATCAACTAAGAGGATGGTGAGGTAGCTAGCAGCTGGGTTGACGTGCAAATCAACCGGAGGGGTATTTGGAACACCCCGAGGCGGTCGTTTGGGAGGTATGCGGGTGCCGGGCCCCCCACCTCCACACCCACCTGGTCCAACACCTTCCTCAGCCCCGCCCGGGGCACCTCCATGCGGCAGTCAGGATGACGGAAACCAAACCCCGGCTTCAACTGCAGCAGACTCCGCTGCCCTCGTCGCATGTCTGTAGGCCCCCGGTGTGCATATTGGGGGGAAGGGCGGGGAGGGGAGGTTCCAGGAGGGGATAAGGGAAGGGTCCATGGGGGGCGGAGATTGAGGTAAAGGTCGAGGGAGGGGGACCTGCCATCATCTCCGCACCAGTTTTACCCATCCCTGGCGTTACTGATGAGGTCTCATGAAGCTCCATGCGGCACTCCGTGACCTGCGGACACCCTGCCAACCCGGAACACACGCACACACACACACACACACACCTCCAATCCTGAGATACCGCACCCACACCCAATCACGTGGCCCACACACCTACCAGAGACCTACACGACCCGGCACCCGGGGCGGGGCTCTACCGGGCGCCTCCAGACCCGCCCCATGTTTCCGCTACTGCCCCACGTGCGGTGCGATTCGGTGCGCGGCCCTTTGAGGTGCAGTGTTACATTCCGACCAGCCTTCGTCTGCTCACGTCGCCCAGTGTGAGACCTGCAGAGATGGCCCTCAGTCTCGAAGTATGGGAGCACTGCTGACCACCTCCTCCCACCCCCACCTTCCCCCCCGCTCCCCCCTTCCTCACCCCGTATTGCCAGCTCCCAGCCCCGGGGTACCCGCACTCCCCGCTCCATGAGGAAGGCGAAGGCCTGACCCGCCCCGCCCTCCTCACTGCGCGTGCTGTACAGCAGTTCATCCTCCAGGTTGCGCACGCTGAAGTGGATGTACACCTGGGCAGGTGGGCCGGGGTGTAGGGAGGGAGGCGGGTGGGCAGGGGGAAATGGAGGGAAGGGGGGAGGGAGATCCGGGGGGAGATCCGCGCGGGGTTTACGAGAGGGCCTGGGTCCCATGAACGGGTGTGTGAGGGGGCAGGAAAGCACCGGGAAAGCGGCACGAACAGTTGGCGGTTGTGTGTGTGGCGTGTGTGTGTATGTGTGTGTATGTGTGTCTGTCTGTGTCTCTATCTTTCAGCGCCCGCATGTCGTTGCCCAGATGATTGCGTGTATATGGAGTTGTCTCAAGTCTGCTCGTGCAAGTTGCGTCGGCAGCACCCGGTGACGTGGACGTGCGTGTGGCAGGTTGGAAGAGAGGCCGGGAGGTGACAATAGAAGACGTACAGCCTCTGCGCGGTGAGGAAGCTGAGATTTTAATTGCAAATGTTTGCGATTGTAAGCGACGTGTATGTGTGACGCGAGAGTGTATGTGTGTATAGGAAGGGGTGCGTGTTCATCTGCATGTCCATGTGCGTGGATCTGCGTACGTTGGTTGCCCACTGGGCTGGTCAGCAGAGTTGCGATAGCTGGGCCTGAACAACGCAGCACCTTGCAGCGCAGCTGGGGCAGGTCGGATCGACTGGGTTGGGTTGACCGGACCGAAACGAGGCTATGTGGGCCTTATCCTTCTCCTCTACGCGCATCATTTTCATGTTTATTACAAACGCACATCGCTGCTTGGGAAGTAATGATGCGGCTAGGAGGTGCCGAGCTCTCGGTTTCGCTAGCTCGTGAGCGTTCTGTAAGTATATTAAAACAGATGCTAGTATATTAGCATATGCAGATGCTATAGTTGTAGAGTGTGTGGGTCGGGTCAGGTGTAACCGAGCGTGAGGTGAGGGGGACGATGCGCTCGCGGGTTCGGGAGGATATAGCTTCCTAGTGCGCGCGGTGGAACTCGGACGGGCCGAAAAGTCCCGCGCATGCTGCTGGTGCTGAACGTGCAGCAGACGAGAGGCGAAGCTCACCAGGTCCCCCTCTTTGGGAGACTCATCGCCATCGCCCTCCTCAAGCACTGCCGTCAGCACTGCCCCCTCGGCAAGTGCCTGCTCCTCCCTGCACAGCCGCGTGCGCACACACCGTCGTTTGTTCGTATTCCACCAGACCCCAATGCATACCAGAGCTACTGCGGCGTATTGATTTCCTGTAAAGCCTGGACTCTGGCCTGGGAAATCCATGCTAAGGAGCCAAGAAGAGCATTCATGTGGGCCAGCTCCCAACCTTATGCGTTTATCAAGCTTGGCGCGCTGTGGCTTAAGTTCTGGCTCCAACGGCACCTCAAGCGGCAAAGTGCGCAGCTCCGCTAGGTACTCTTGGAAGGCGTCACGTTTCATGGCAATAAAAAAGAGCTTCCGAACATGATCATGCTATGCAACGTGCCCAGTTGCTGCAGTAATAACTCATTACAATACTTGAGTCAAATTGTATAAATTGACCATACAGATGTATGCGAACAGGCTGTACAAAGTTACCGGACTAACCGCCCAAGATGACACATATACGTATGCGAAGTCTTGTCCAGTTCCAAAGCACCTGTCACCTCAAGAATTATATGAATCTATATTAATACAAGTAATCCACAAAACGCGAGAGAAACAGAGCCTGCCGAATATGACACATCCCCAGCTTAATATACATCCCTATAACTGGCAGCTCCCCCCTTCCGAATCCTTGCCCTTAACCTACAAAGCACCACGTCCAAGCTAAGCATTGCTCATGCCGCTCTTGGCCTGATCACATTTTCACACGAAGATACAGCTACGAGGATGTCACACATATTTCATCCTTAACAAGTATGGACAGTCTCCCAACCATCAGTCAGGTTCTCTGCCCCGGCCTCTCCCCCGGCCTGACCCTGCTCCCCCAGCGCCTTTCTCCGCGCCAGACCCGGTTGCTACCGGCCTGTAGCCGGCTGTCCCTCACACTCCGGGTCTGGGCGCACCACCCTCCAAGCCGCCGCCACCTACTCCTCCCCCTTCCTCCCGTCCTGACAATCCCCTCTCTTGCTGCCAGCCGCGTCGCCACGTCCTGCTCTAAGCCGGAACCGATAGATAATAATGAAGAAGTCAACTATGTTTCCATGGATAGTAGCGGTATCCACCTTCGTTTCCTTGAAACTTCTGTGGAACAAGACTGTTGCGTGGTGTTTGGACAGCTCATTGCGCCAAAAGCCGCCCACCACGCACATCGTCATCACACCCGCGATACAACCCAGCACGCTGCGCAGGGTGTCGTCGAGGTAATTCAGTACATAGTACGATAAAAAGGGAAAGGAGGTGCACAAGTGGAGGAAGTGGAGAGCAACATGACTAGGGCCGATGGGGTCGCTCGCGAGAGTTTTCGGTTCATGTCGTCATCGCAGTGGCAGCTGTGCACGGCAGTGTAAATTGATGGATACCAGCTAGCCACCTAGGCCTGTGCCGAGACGCGCGCGAGCATTGCAGGCATGGCCGTCCATTGCGGGACTCACCGACTGCAACACGACACACGATGTAAGGGGTAAGGTAAGATACCAAGGAGTGGAAGTACCACAGCGATCTGGCAACCTAACAACGGTGGCACTCGCACCAGTGATATGGTTCCAGTCGCAGCAGCAGGTCGAACACCCAGAGCTCACGACTCACATCTACGTGGTCTCCACCACCCCGAGGTCCACGCAGGTGGCGGGGTAGTACGGGTAGGGCGCAGCGTGAACAGACACACCCACCGTGTCCTGGTTCTGTAACGTGTACTGGTGGCGCAGTACGCGAGCCAGGACAGGACGGGCACCGGAAGGGTATATCGGTTTTGGTCAACGCCTGGGACAATCGGGCCGCTCAACACCGTGAGCGTTGAGTGTCATAAAGTGTGGCCAGGAAGATGAATGGTTGTGCCCGTGACATATATAGGTCTTATATGTTTTCATAAGCAACCGGGCTTTGCCGCCCAGTCATAAGGCAAACCCATCCTCGTAGCCATGGCACAGTCTCGCAGCACTGTTAGGCTGTTAGCTGGCTAGCTCCACGGCGACTCGTGTGCACCACTGCAACGCGAAGGCACTGCAGGGGCGCGAGCAAGCGCAGGACAGCCGCCTTTCCGCGGCTGCAAGGCTGTCGGGGGCCCATATCCCGTCCCAGTTCCCTTTGCGGGCGGTGCTCCGTTCCCTCCTTCCCCCCTGCGCCCCCCCCCACCTTGGCCAGTTAGACCATGTTGGCAACCTAGACGCCCACAACAGCGCATCCCGCCACCAGCAACACCAGCCAGGTCATGATGCCGACCAGCAGATGCGTACCCCCAGATTGGCCGTCTGATTGAGCTGTAGCTTGTCCTTCACCTCGCCTCAACAGCGCGACACCGCACACCGGGCTGAGGTTGGAATTCGAGGTGGATGATGGCCCTGGATTACCCTTGCACCCTTGCACAGAACCAAGGACCATCGCGCACGTTGCTTAGCCATCAAATGGCACGATGGCACCACATGCGGAGATGGAGGTACTCCCGCATGAACGCGTCCTCCCCTACAGCCCTGAGCCGAACGGAAGGAGATACGTGACCATTCTCCTCAGCAAGTACTGCAGGCCGCCAGCGCCTTGAGATCTGGCAAGGCACGCCCTCTCCACACAACCGGCTTACCCAATTGGTCCAGCTCAGCCTCCAGCAAGGCACCTCACGGACACAGCCCGAAGATGATGCGTTGTAGCTGGGGAACAGCACTGAGGTCGCGATGACGGACTGGCTGAGCACAAAGGAATTGTTGGCGTTGGCGGTGTTGGCCACGATGACCAGTGCGGCGGTGATGGACAAAATCATGGTCTGAGTGTAATGGATCCTGCGCCGGAGGACAAACAGCACGGGGAAGTGAGTACGTTGAGAATAGGCAACTGGGATCAGACAGCGGAAGGCCCGGCCTCAGCCTCGGCTGGCTGATCACTTGCGCTGGGTGGGCACGCAGTTGCGTACGCCATGCGTTTTGATTTAGGGCAAGGATTGGAGGGACCCCATGCCTCTCCGCTCGCCCGTCATGCGACTTCATTCTCCTGTGCAGCGCATCTCGCTTACCATATGCAAATGCCGATGGTAGATGAGATCATCAAGGGGGCGGGGAATATGGGGAAGTAGTGCACCACCTGCCGCTGCCTGCAGATTAGATTTTCGCCCATAGATATGTAGGAGCCACTGAGGGGTGAAGCCCGTTGGACTACCGTATGTATTGTCGAAAAGATGGGATGAAGATGAGGCAAAATGCCATGGGTAGTCAGGCCGGACAGAGCAGCGTTGCTTCGTGATGTGTCCAAGGCCCATGGCCGAATACTGGATGCCTGCGCAGGGGCGCCATTCGTACGTATCTGGGTGGAGTTCAGCACTTAGGTGCAGGGGCCGCAAACTGGTTAGGTAGGTAGTAGTGCCTCTACTCAAAAGTCTGTGCTAGCTGCAACGGTCTGCTGCCGTACGGCGCCAAGCTGTCGTACCGTGTGGGATAATGCCATAACCACATGGGGGACAGTCATGAGGGGAAGCTTTGGTGGTAGCCGTGTAGCCCTTGACACATCGCCAACCCGGATGTAAGAGAGTGGGCTGTTGGGTAGTACCGTAGTACTGGCAGAGGAGCCATAGGTTTGCAACGAAGCTGATCAACATTTCCGAAACATGTCTTTGTATGCGTTGTATGATGTGTGGATTATGGCTGTAAGCGCGGGGGATCCCTGTCGTGAGGGTTGCATCTGCCGTGCACACGCGACCGGCAGCTACGAAGCGAGGCAGCACGAGGCAGCCCTGCTAGGTAGCGCGTAAGCCTCCATAACCCTCGGGTTGCTACCATCAGTTAGAAAACACACTTCGAGGCACATCCCCTGGCTGAACAGCGTGCTGTGCCCAGCAGAAAAAATCAACACCCGGGTGTGAAAGAGAACCTTGTTATGGAGGGGGAACACGCTCACACATACATAGTATGTAAGAAGTACCTTTGAGATGCATAATTCTTTGAGATGCATGACTCCGCGGTGGGAACGGAATCCCCATTCCTCACGCAAGCACTTCCCCTTAAACGCCTGCCTGTCCAATTTTATTAGCTGACAATTTAGGGCACATAATAATGATTGCAAAGTTTGAATTTCATAAAATTGCCATCCAGCCTTCACAGATTTCAAGGAACAGTCTATAAGCTAGGATTCATGTAGCCAAGGGACACTTTTGTTCTGATAGCAGTACATTTCTAACTTGCAGTTGGAACGGAATTTGCAAAGCCCTTGTGGGGCGGAGGCCTTACTGCCGTCGTACAACTCTTTGAGGTGCTGGGCTGACTGACCATCCCATTTGTGCCTGAGTCCTCCTTCCTAGGCCGTTGCTTGATTCTCGCTTCGGCCAAAATGATGACGTCTGTGTCTCAAGCTAGGTCGCTGGCGGGCTGCCGGGCCTTCGGCAGCGTCCGGCCCCGTGTTGCAGCGCGCATTGCAAATGGAACTCTCTGCCACATGGCACGCAAGGATAGCTACATGGTTGAGGTTGAGGTTGCCGAGGATGAGCCGGAGGACGTGGCTGTGCGGCGCTACATGAAGCTCGTCATGCAAAGCCGGGTGGTTGAGAAGCTCCGCGCTCGCAAGGTCAAGGAGACAAAGATTGAGGAGTACAAGCGGCGTTTCCGTGAGCGCGTTGAGATGCGCAAGGCCGGCATTGTGGAGCCGACATACGAGGAGCTCTACAGCAGCAGTGAAATGATGGACCGCGGGCCATTTGATGACTTCTTCTCTCGCCGTGACGAAGAGGATCCAGAGGGTGCCTACGATGGACTCGGCGACGGGTTGGCTGATGATATCTTTGGTAACTTCGCTGGAGGCTACGTAGACCGCTGGACCACGCAATCCGGCGGCTACATGAGCGGCACCAGCTTCAACAACACTAGCAACTGGCAAGGAGGCTACATGTGAAGGCGCTTTAAGCTTTCTGAGGCCGCTCGGCAAGCACAAGTAGTGGTTGACGGCTTTTTTGCGGTGAACAGTTAGGGGAGCCATGGAAAACGCGTTTGACAGCTTGTCGCAATCCTAGCGCAGCTAAACTGCAGAACCAGCGCTGTTGCGTCCAGCATGCAGCTCCTGGTTTGTCCTCGCTTTGGAGGCGCCGGTTGCTTGATGGCAACTTTCCGTTGCCTAAGAAGCTGGATTGGCCGTGCCTTTCAATCTCGTGCAAAAGCGTTTTGTGATGTGATAACGAGAGCCGGTATGCGTGTGGCGTTTGCGACCCAGGACCACGTGCAATTGGCTTTGCCCCAATTTTGCTTGCATAGGGGCTTTGCTGCGAAACTTTTAATCGTCGTGGTGCTGCAGTTCAGGGGCATGCGTTAGGCTTTGGGGCTCTGGCCGGTGTGCGGGGACGGGTGTCTGGAGTCTTAGATGGAAAGAGGGGAGGCGAGGGTTTAAACAGCTTCTCATGTGTACTCTTGAAATGTTGGGTGACGCCTTCATGCCATGGAGGCTATACCACTGCTGTAGTGGTGAGATGTCGGGACGTGCACGGAACAAGACTGGTGCATTGCCACGCGTATGCGGTGTCGTCTGGTTGCCTTGTGGAGCGGGTCATGTTCCCATTTGGGTGGTGTGAATGTAAAACTCGTGAAGCAAATTACCAAGATCTAAGGAATCACAGGCTGGACAGGTATCCATAGGTTGCCGGTAGCCAGGCTTCCGTGTCAATATTACCTTCCATACAGCAAATATTTCTGAAATGGACACAGCGGTGCGCCATGTGCACAAATAGTAAAGGTTTAGAGCCCATCAGGCTAATAGCGCATCATACTTAGCAGCAGCGCCCATCACAATCCTGAACCCCCATGCTTCGCGATCTTCTGCAGCATCTTCTTCTTGGCGATCCGGAACATCAGCACCGTGCGATACCGCTCCACGTTGCCATCAAACATTGCCAGCTCCGGAGGCGGCAGGACTGGCTTCGCCGTTTCCAAGGGAAGCTCACCTTCCATTGCATGGCTGACCGTGCAGCCTTCCCCTTCTTCCGTATGTCTTGCGGTCCCGCCCTCCAAGTCCGCGTCCGCTTCATTCGGGGTAGCCACCTGTAACACATGCTCCCCTCCTCCGTCTGCGATAGGTCTTGCCTCTACAACTACCTGCCCCACCGGGACATGGACCGCCGTTGCATGATATTCAACCTCCGCTGCGTCCATCACTGTAACCTCTTCTTCCCACAATTCCCACTTAGCCAACTGCGCCAGCGCTTCCTCGTCCTCCTGCAAGCTGCTCCTGCAGCAATTGCTTCTGCTGCTTGCTGCGGCATGCTCCTCCTCTCTGCACGCAGCCACTACGAGCACCTCCACCGACGGCAGGTCAGGCTTCCCCGGTTGCGAGGGGCCCTGGGACCGACGATCCGCCAGCATCGCCAGCAAGGCGGCCACAGCCTGCAGCGTCTGCTGTGGTGCACCGGCCGCTGTGAGAACCACCTGGGGTTAGGATTCGGCATTACAAGGCAGGCATGCGGCTCTAGTTCAAAAACAATCACTCATCCCCACAAGCACTTGGGGTCGACGTCTCCCACCCTATCCACTCAGCAAGGAACCAGCACATGCACAGAAAAGCACACACGCTCTAGGCTCCCACCATACGCCATATAATGGCTTTCAGATTTAGGACACATCAAGCCTGTGCTCGCCTGGTCTAAGGATCCTGCAGGCGCGGCGAAGCCTCGGATTGCTGCTGCCACCACCTCCGTTGAGATCGCCAGTTGGCTCGTCAGAGCTGCCTCCAGAAGAGGACGCATGTCCTGCACGACATACCTGCAGCAACCGCAGTTAGTCATTGACACCTTTCAGGGGGGGTTTGAAATCCGAGCTTTCCGTGGGGAACCCAAGCTATCACCTCAACTACCGAATGCCTGCCCGACGAAGCGGGAGAGGCTGAAAAAGCGTCCTGACCAGTGGTGATAGCGAGTGTGTGGTGTGATGGTGAGAAGGTGGAAACAACCTAGTGCAGAACTAAATACTTTTAGGCGGGAAAACAGCCTATGGCTTTTGTTCTACTGGGGACCTGGAGTTCCGGTTTGGCAGCAGAGGCCCCCTGGTAGCCAAGTTGGCCTTCATACAACAATTAACAACTTACCGTCCTATAAATTAGATACCAACGAGGCATGCTTGTAGCAGCACTTCCATACAGTCGTGCCCCGTGCGTTGTATGTTGATGCGCGTAGAGGAGGTAACTAGGGTTTTCCATCTCGGTGCTTCATATACTTAAACAAGGAGACTTGGGGTGCCCACTCCTGTACATAATCCCTACCTGTCGTGCGGGTTGCCATCCAACTGTACGAAGCCGTACCGTTGCAGCAGCGCATCGTTGGACTGGTTGCCGTAGCTAATGAGCACCGGCTGACCCCGCTGTACCGCCTCCCCCGCCACAACGCGGAACTCATCCCGCCAAGGAGCGAAAATGCACTCGCTCTGCAGCGGGATGGATGGGAGGATGGGAAGGGCAAGAGGCATGCAAGGTCGCACGGAAGGGAGGGAGGGAGGGAGGTAAGACTTGGCATGTGGTTACGCTGCGCGGCCAAAGCAGCACAGTAGACGCAAGAATGTCGAGGGAGGGTAACTTGTCGCAACAGGCAGCAGTGATCCCTTTCCATGTATGACCTGTATATATATGTATGTATATATATACATGGACACATATATATTATTTTTTTTCACACATACACTACAAACCTCAAGAAAGCAGGTGCGTATTGCCGGCCCACTGTGACATGACCCTAAGCACCGAGACAATTCCATCTCCCACACGCACCCCACTCTCACGCCCTGACGTCCAGACCCCCGAACCATTCACTCCCTCGCCACCACCATCACCAGAGACATTCCCCTCCTCCTCCACCTCATCCCGGTGCTGCTTTCTCACCCCCAACACTCACGCCGCAAATGTCCCCTACTCGCCTGCGCCCGGCTATCGTGGTTGAACATGTCGATGAAGGGACAAACGGCATAAAGCACAGTGCCAGGCTCCCCAGACGCCGCCCGTCTTGCCTCTGTCGTTTGCCACAGCACAGGCACGCCTACCGCTGTTAGTACAGCGGGCAGCAGTGCGGTCACCGCGAAAGCCGGTTCAGTGGGGACGGCAGCGGTGACAGCTGCCACAACCCCTGCCACCGCCGCTCCCACTAAGACCTTGGCCGGCATCGGAGTGGGGATGTGGGGCCCGGCGAAGGTGCGGCTGCGGACGCAGGAGAGCGACCAGAAGAAATCGGTGCAAGTGAGGCCGCGCCGGTCGAGGTGCCGCCGTACCCGGTTGTACAGTTCCGCCCATTCCTCCTGCTCGTCCAAGATCTGGACCACGAAAGCACGGGGTCAGGATTGAGGTGTCTCAGATGGAGAGGCGCGACCTGTAGAGACGCATTGCGTGGAGCAGCCCAGCCCAGCAAGTATCAGCTAAGCAGCTAACCCCCGGCATCTTCCGACGCCGTACGGTACCTGCTGTTCCAAATAGGGGGACTGCAGCTGCCGTACATGCTCGGCCGGCCATAGCGCCGGCAGGTCGATGCGTTCAGGCAGCACGGGCAAGTAGTCTGCGAAGCGCGAGGCCGGACCCAGTGCTCGCTCGTGCAGAAGCTTACATGCCAGCTGGGCGAACCAAGGAAGCTGGGACCAAACGCCCTGTGAGGAACAGAGCCAGGTGGGGGAGTCCGGGTGGAATGATGCGACATCCCACTTAATGAAGTCAAGCTGAGTGGGTTTGAAGTTTGAAGATAAGCACAGTTGAGCGCAATTAATGGCAGTTAGGAACTTTAGACGTCGGCAGTTGGGAATGCGGTGCACGGCGCTGCCGCAAAGGTGCAAGCGTCCTCCAGTAAGGCTGAACGAGGATTTGGGGCTAGGCGTGGAGGGCTCAGGTAGATTCAGGGAGCACCCTGCTGGGAAATGATAATGTTGCAACCCAACAGTTGTGGGGCTGCAGCTGATGCGCCATATGTCCACACCATCTTGAAACATTTTGTGAAAGAGTTCGCGATTGAAGAAGTCCCATTCAATGCGACAAAGACGCAAACATGCTCCCGGGCGGGGGTTTAGCCGCCGTAAATGGGTTAGTGGGCTGAATTCCGGAACCACAGCAGATAGGGCTGTGGCTTAGGGACCCCAACAGTCCCCCAAGCCTGCCAGGTCAGCACAAATATAAAGTGTTCCTGGTAATATTTGCCGTGAAGACTCTGTCCAGGGATAGTCGAGTCAGTTATGGTCCCAAATGGGCTTGTACGACTTGCACGGCCCTTACGGCTATGGTCCCAAATGGGCTTGTACGACTTGCACGGCCCTTACGGCCTTGCTCAATGGGAACTAAGCTTTCCATTAGAATGAGCTCAGCCACTTGCCTTCTTTCCCTAATGTACCATAGATTTGCTTACTTGTGGTATGAAATCCGGAAACGGACAGCGTTCACCCGGGCGCACGACAAGGGAGGATTGCCATGGTACAGCGACGAGGTTGTTTCCCTCGTTGATATCGCTGGTGGCGTAAACACCTCGGATGCCGTTTCGAATATCGGGCCTGCATCCTGTGAACCTGATTTTGTTTGCAATTGCCCATTGGACCAGTCCCAGGACGCTTGCGAACTCGTTACGATTGGTGGCAGCCTCCGCAGGCTGGCCAGGAGAAGTGGGTGGCGATGTAGCTACAACTGATCGTGGAATGCAAACGGATCGTCTAGCTGTTATGAACCTTGACGTCGTTGTCGGTATGTTGATTGTTGATGTCCACATTGTCCACAATCTAGGCTGCCACAAGTTCGATGCTCATTCAGCTCGAAATATGTTTCACTAGATATAACGCTGAGCAATTTGTCTGCATTAAAGCAAAATCTGGAACTTGATGGTGATGAGAGCGTACGGCGACTACTGCCATAGAAACTATACAGCGGATAGACAACACATTCCAACGAGAGAGAGAGAGAGAGAGGTGGAGGGGCACTCAATTAATGTTCTTGCCCCCTTCATCCATTGGCTTTTCGAAAACACCGGTTGAGCAAATGGGGTGAGGCTGCCAGTTCCTGTTGCAGGGTGGTTTCCAGGCCAAGGTAGGCACCGTACACAACCTACTCTTGCTCTGGCACCTTACTGACCGGCACAGGAATGGCCCTGACGATACATTCCCGCTCTTTGTCTGTCAGGTTGATTTTGATAAAGCTTTTAATCGTGTTCCAAATCGCCTGCTTTGTCTGAGACTTAAGGAGTACGGTACACACGGCGCCATGCTGAAGACTCTTGGGGGCCTGTTACAGGAGGAGATACATCCTGACAGTGCATTCTGACTACACTGCCACCGGTTGGGGTGCCATGATCTTAAGGAGTCTCAGGTGCTTAGAGCACTTCCGGTGCTGCACCTGGATCTGGATGAAGAGGGAAAGGTCAACTTCATTTCATTGAACCCGATCAATGTTAGATCTGTCATGGAGACCTTGAAGGAGCGATTTGGTGATGACTGGCATCACTACACCCCGGGAATTTGTGTTGGACAAATTATAAACCAGGGGTTAAGATGTGCCGGCATACCCATGGGATGGGAATGCTGAAACATACGATGTACTACATCCCTGCGAAGTCAAACTTGTCACTGGTGCGGCTTCGCTTAGGGGCGTGGGCTTTGGAGGTTAGTGGTCAGCCACACCAAGAGTGCTGGTGTAGGGTCTGTGGCAATAATAATGGAGTAAAAGATGGGTTTCATGTGTTGCTAGGGGTATCCCGCCTACAACGACCTGCAGGAAGGGCTCCTAACCTGGCCTCCTAATGCTGCAAAATACCGTGTCAGGGACGTCAGCGCTGTTCTACACACTGGACCCCTGAGGTGAGCAGTAACCTGCCCCCAGGAGAAGCGCCCGGCCTCCAGGGAGCACATATGAGTGTCAGCCACCTAACCAGTGCCAGCCACGCAACACTGTGGATCTTACACTGCCAAGCAAGATAGCCTCATTGACGATAAAGCGTCAGCTAGGATACAGCTTAACATAGCCAAGACCTTTTACAACCTTGTCCTGCCTTGCAGACGACTGTGCAACCCCCGCTGCGTTATCTCTGGTGCGTGCCGAATCAGCACCGGCAACGAAATGCTGCGCTCACTGAAGTCGCCCGGCTAGGCAAGCACAGCATGGCTCCTTTTGCGAGTACAAGGTTACGAAATATTCAGGCGATTGTGCCAAAGGGTAACAGCCTAGTAACAGAGCTACTTGGAATTTCATCGCCTATCAGACGGTGTCACCACACTCAGTATGTAATCGTAAGAATTAAACACCACTCGGGCGTCTAACCTTCAGTAGTTCACACTTAGCTAGGACAGTCGAGGATGTGCTCCCACAGCAGATATCACCCCGGATGCGTGGAGGCATTAATTTGCACAACTTTGCCTCTGGGTTTTGCCTTCATTTACCATCTGGGATTTCAGGAGTAAATGAAGCGAACCCTGGCAGTATGTCTCACCCACAGCAAGGCCCCTGGAGGCCTCATGTCACCTCATTGCCGGGTGGACCGGCCGCTGCTGCAGCCGCCTGGCATATCGTCGGTAGCTTTCACATAATACACGGGCTCAAAGCCAACTTAAGGATAAAACGTGCCACAGTAGAAACACTGCAGAGATCCACGGCAACACACACTGCTGTGGTGATCTGCTGTGGTAACCACTCGTCTTAGCAAGCACCACACCTGAGCAATGTATGACTAGCTGTCCCGAAGACAGGGTGCGCCGGCATGTGGAGAGTTAGCCTGACAAAGCTCAGCGAAGGGAAACATCTTAGGCAAGGGGATTGGCCTCTACAGGTCCTGTACACGTGCATGCCAAAGTATGTATGATAGCGACGAGGGAGTATATACGGCGCCGATTAGCCAGCAAGCCACATTGAGCACGGAACATTGGGAGGCACGCCAAGTTCACGCTACTGTCACCATGCAAGTAACGACACCGAACAATCACCTATGTTATGACAAAACGGATATACTTTCCTCTATTGATGTTCTTAGTAGTTGTTTCTCTCAGAAAACGCAAACCCGCATAATCCATTTGGCCTGGACATGGGCGCACTGTGCGAGTCATGGGGACACTCCGGTTCGGGCCCTCATGTCATAACCTTTCTTTCACTGCCGGAATATGTCAATCGCGTCTCATCCCTAACAGCATCTTGGCATCCCGAAGCCGCATGGGTTATCGAGCATTGCCTTCCAGCTCACCTAGGACATAACACTATAAACTACGACAGAACAAACGCATTTATACACCGGCCACCGGCCTCCTGCTAAACTGGGCTGCCTACCTATTTACGCCATCCAATCATAAGTTTAATGAAACCACCAGCCACGACGGAATGAAACCACTAGCCACCATGCAACACAAGCGTGCTGACACCGCGTCCAGTCCACGAATAAGTCACATCCATTTAAAAGGTATCGTTTGGGGGAAAGCCGAGTGAATGCACTGTCAAGAGAACGAAGACCTGGCTATGCGAATTAATGCCGACGTCTATCTTTGAAGCCCCCACGATGCCCCTGCAAGGAAGGGGGCAGCTGGACAACCGTTTACACAACGGCCTCCGCCGCCGCCTGTGCCCGCGACTTGTCAAGGTACTCCACAGTGTGGGTGCGAAGCGCATTGAGGATGAAGGTTGCACCTACAATTGTGCAGGCAGGGCCAATAACTCATACGCATCAGCCTGGCTGACGGTTGTTTAAATGCCACTTGCAAGTGTACTTGTCGTCATGCACGAATAGCTTTGCATGTCTGCGGCTTGGCTGGGTGTTCGTGGCCCAGCTCCCTGTTATCGCCAGCTTTCCTGCGGCTTGGCTTGCACAAACTCCAGGATTAGATCACATTACCAACTCTAATGGTGTAAGCCGCACAAGCTCCGCCCTCCCATTCTCTCAAGGGCGTCCCTCGTGCTGGTAGCTGCATGTCTCATAAAGAAACAAGTCTGCAAGTATCCGCTCACAAACTGCCCACCTACATGCGCTTGTACAGGCCCAGCCGAAACGGAATATGACAAGAGCAACTTACAGATAATCCTAAGCATACGGGGTGACAGGCCCTTCCAGAAGTGCAGCAAGCCACCCTCCTTATAAATAGTGGCGAAAGTTCTACGGAGGTTGCGATACTCGGGCTTGCTGTACATGAACGCCTGCGCGGTACCCGACGAGCAAAAAGGGCGAAGTCTTTTCCGTGACCAACACAGTTTCAGCAGGAGTGCTCTCCAAGCGACAGACAAGCTGAGTGCATTCCCTTCGCGCTCGCGTGTAACGTGATCTGGACCGTACTATATAGGCTCGCAGCATCCAAAAGGCACCTTGTCTATGGCAGCAAGTCAGCTGGACAGGAGCATTTATGCAGCTTGAGCCTTACACAACAGGTCATAACCTACATTTCGACGAGCGTCCTCAAGCAAACCCACTAAGCCGCGTACCTGCATGCGCGTCTTGGACGTGTCGAATGGGTGCGAGCACGCGGCTGCGAACACGCCGCCGGTGACACCCGCAACCATCAAAGACAGCCCCGGGGAGCCCTGTTACTCAGAACGGGAGTTTGCAAGCACAGCCGGGAAGTCAGCCGAATGAAAAGCACAACATCTACGACAAAGCGCTGCGCATGTTTGACGGTTTGTATTGACTTGTTGTTCTGTAGTAGCTGTAGGTAAGCACACGGACAATATGCAAGCAACAACATCTGCAGCTCTCCACGCACTATGGGGTAGGCCACCATCAAAGCAAAGGAGAAAGGTGGCATCGCCGCGATATAGACATTCTTATCGGGCCAGCTCGTCGCCATTTGGGTCGCCTACATTTTCAGCCTCTGCAAGCCAGGAACTTCCTGAGACGCTTCCTATACGTTCACAGTATCATATCCATGCTGCCGCTGGGCGGCGCAGTGGCATAGCATGGCGCACCGGCATCCTTTCGTCCAGCGACTTCTTGATAATTGGGAACAAGCCCAGGTATCCAGCAGCATACAGCATCTCACGTCCAATCGCGGGTATCTGCCAGAGGAGAGGGCAGACATGGTGGGTTGGCAGCTTGTGCAGGTGCAAGCTTGCAGGCCTTCAGGCCCTCTGCTGCAGGCATCACCTAGCGGCCACGGCGGGTCGACTCTTCAACTACCGCCCTTATACGCTCTTAGCAAGGACATGTCTCACGGAATCACGCGTTCCGAGGTCGCCCTGGATACCCTGATCGTTCCCATGGCGGAATCTCATGCCTAAAGATGCTGCATACGCGCGTGTAGGCTATGTCATCCCATGGGTCACCTTGGCGCTGCAGCAAGGCTTAAGGAACATTGGAACATTGCTTACCAGACCCCTTCCGATTGACGCTGCCCCGTAAGTCTTCAGGAAATGGGAAGTTTCAGCCGGCAGAGAACGCCCGCTTTTCTGTTGACAGCCAGCTGGGTCAGGTCTTAGAGCGTTGCGCACGTATAAATAATGTTCATTACTGCGTTGACCTTTCCCCGCGAACGAACCTGCTGCTGGATGATGATGAGCTCTGATGGCGACGCAATGAATGCCGAAACCGCTCCGGCTACAGCGGCACTGCCGAATCGCTCCACCCCAGTTAAGTCATTTTCAGACTTCTTAAGCACCAGGGTTTGCATGAGCCTGTTTGTCCCAAACTGAGAGGCTGTGATTGGGGCCATGCTGACGACGTTCATGAGCAGGCCGCGGTACAGGTGAGCTGGATTCTTAGGTATGGGTCTCCCCTCTTGTAGAGCATTTTTAATGCCCACCAAAGGCTGCATGATACATACTTCTACAGTGCCACCTAGAGCTCCTATTGCTGTGTGCTCCAACGGTGTCACTGTGCTGTGCGTAGATGACATTTTACCAGGCCGATAGTTACAGCTTGCAAAAGAATGTAGGATGTCAGCAAATCATGGACCGTAAGATCTACGCTATGATGTTGTCGGGCCCTGGATATCTACCTTTGCTGCGCCGCCTAGACAACTTAATTTTAAATTGTACTGCTAGGGCTAAGGTCACGTCGACGAAAACAAAATCAGGTAAACAAAGCGGCTTGCACAATTCTTTCACAAACACACCCGCCACGTTTCACAACTACTTTTGATAGCGGTACGTTTATTAACTTCCCGTTTCGGAGCACAAAGGCAACTCATGGACTGCGATTAAACTAGTTAATTAATCATGTTGTCTTCGTTTGTAATCTGACATTGGCACTTTGCGTCAATTGCACTGCATGATTAGGATTGAGTTAAGGTAGCTGAAATTTCCTCTGGATGTCTCAGCATCAGGGGCGTCCCTCTCAATTCCAATACTATACTCCTACCGTCGCCGCTCCGCCTGGCAAGGGTAGGCAACCACACGTCTGCGCGCCCGCGCTACTAAGTGAATTAAATCCTCTCTTGCCAAACCCTTCGGTACTTTTATTTCTGAAGCTCTATATGACGCTCGCCATCAGCAACCCGCGGCGCAGCTGAAAGGTAAAAAATCGTGCTTTCTCGACACCGGCTTATAACTGCGCCTACTTAGATGCGTAATCCAGCAAGTCTTACTGTTGCAGAGCTCACAGCATCAAACGTTGCCAAGCTTCGTGAGTTGCGGGCTGAGCTAAAGAAGGACGAGTAAGTCACCTGCGCCTCACGGCGACTCCCCTCATATCGATACGGAGACGTGCTGATGCAATTTATTTGTCCTGCCCATGTTTTCGCAGCTGGTACTACGAAGCACCTAGGCACACCCTACGCTGATTACTGCTCAGAGAACGTGTTTGTCGGCCGCCCGACACGAGGAACCCTCGGCTCGTACGGCATATTGTTTAGCTTTCATCTTAGTGTTTTGCGCCTGCGGCGGCACGTGCCGCACAACAACCGCGGCCCTAAGCCTGGGGAGGATGGCTTCTCAGGTGCCGTATTCGCAGCGCCCTGAGTGGTCTGATGTGACACCAATGCGACTTCCGGAGCCTGAACGCGTCGTAGCAATACAGTATCTACCGGAGCACGCGGAGGCGCTTGGCTACTTCAGAGCCGTGCTCCAAAGTGGAGAGCTGAGTGAGCGCGTCCTAGCTCTGACGGCTGATATGATTCGCTTCAACCAGGCTGACTACACCGCGTGGCGGGTCAGGTGAGGAAAGCCAAAGGCAGACTGCACGCGGAAATCCCACAAAGCCTGACGCAACTAGCGGGATGCAATAGGGGTAGATGCGAAATGCGGACAGCGGGAGTGGTTTCCACCGGGGATGCGGACAGTCGATGACCGAGAGGTACCCGAAAAATTGATCCTTACTGCATCCCTCTCGCGCAACGTGATGAGGCACCAATGGCCGCGTCGCCATGTGCAACCTTAGGTGGAACTTGCCGAGTGACGACCCGTAGGTTCTTATCGGGATCAGCGTGTGCGACGAGATCAGCGTGTAGGGCAGTGCTTAGGGTTAATGATCCTGTAGTGTGAACCTCATGAGGGTTCAGGACTGTACACGGTAATGAACCAAGTGATTACCTTGTCCCTGCTATCAGTGTATGCAAGGTGGCAGTCGAGTCGATTGCAACATGCAGCTTTAAGCAGCTCGATTTGCATCAGGGTTTTCTCGGCTGCGAGCCTCCATTGCATACGGAGCTCGCTGCAACGACCTCCTCTGCACGCAGGTGGCTGTGCGTTCAAAAGTTGGGCACAAAGGCATTGGAGGCGGATCTGGACTTCACTCATTCTGTTATGCTAGAGAACGCAAAGAACTACCAATTGTGGAACCACAGAAGGCTGTGTGCGCTGCAGGTGTGTGCTGCTATGTGGGGACACAATGAATGCCGCGTCCTCGGCTTGCGGTCATGCTTTTGGCAGTTAGCATAACGTGACCACGAAGCAATACGTCAAGCCGTCTTTGCCGGTTTTGCACAAGCGATGGTTCCTCTGTTACACTAAAAGATTACCTTGGCATGCCCCTGTCTTGCGCCGAGACGAACAGAGCAGGGGCTCATCCTTACACATGCCTTGCGTTGCAGCTCGGGCCGAATGTGGCAGATTGTGAAAATGAATTCACGCGTGAAGCAATTAACTTCGACGAAAAGAACTACCACGCGTGGGCTCACCGGCAGGCCATTGTGAAGGTGCGCATCTGTGCATCAACCACATCATGTATGGAAATGTATGGAAATGAACGCAAGCACCGCATGAGCGCATTGTGCACGACAAGGACTGTGGCATGTCCCTGCTGACCGGACGGGTTTTGCCGCATCAACAATTGTAGGGTCCAATTGAGGGTCCCACCAAGGCATACGTGCCGAGTAGGACATGTATAGAAAATGAAATAGGTTACTGCATACTCTGTAGCTCCATCCCGACGCGTTTGCCGCTTTTGTGTTGACATGTCTGGGGTTGGTGGCTGTGCACCCCTGCTGGATAGATGACGGGGCGGTGGCAAGCGGAACTGGAGTTTGCATCGGAGCTAATTCAGCGTGACGTGCGGAATAACACTGCCTGGAACCAGCGCATGTTCGTGCTGAAGCACATGCCGCGCTCGGAGGACGATAGCACCATGTGGTTGCGCAGGTGGGACTCGCTAGGGCCCTCACGCTGCCTTCCTGTTGGATTGAACTTCCCATTTTCCTTCGTAGTGCTCAAGGTACTTGTGTGACCCTCACAATTCCTCACTCGCCTTTCTACCAATTAAATCTGGCAGCGAGCTTTCATATGTGGCGGACGCTATCCAGCGTGCACCGCGCAATGAGGCTCCATGGCGCTACCTAACGGGCCTCTTCGTCACGCTGGAGCCATGGGCTTCCCAGCCACGTGCCCTCTCCTGTCATCCTGAAGTGTACACGATTTGCACTGAGGCGCTCCTGGACTGCCCCTCCTGCGCACCGGCATATGACGTACTGGCGCAGTATTACGAGGGCGTCGCCGCGCTGGGCACAGCGCGCGGCACGGCGCAAGCTGACGCACAGGCACCCGATGCTCGGGACGACCTCTCGGCGACAGTGGGCGGTGTGTTGCAGGCGTACGAGGTAGCACAGGTACGCACGCTTTCCCTCGCGCAGCGGTAACCACTTTTTTCTTTTTTAACTGTGCTTGACATGTTTGTCCGTTACGCAGGCAGCATTGGATGAAGCGGCTGTCGCAGATCCTATGCGCATCCTGTATTGGTACCACCGGCAGCGCGGCGTGGCGCACTTGATGGCTGTTACTACAGGGATGCCAACGTGAATTGTTACAAGGAAGTAGGAATGCGGCCTTGAGGCCTAGGAACTTGCTCCGAAGCACGGCATCCTCCGACAAATGAACTTGCAGACTTGTAAACTGTAATATTCACCTGATAAATAGGTCAGTGTAAACATTTACTTTTTGATTGATCAATTGAAAATGTTGACGTTGAAGTCATGCAAGCCTTGCAAGCGTTCGGCAGCCTTCTGCTCGAACCAGCGGTCGGTCCTGTGTCGCGCATCTTCTGGAGCTGCGAATAAGCTTACGTCGGCTGCAGCGGCGGTAGTTCTTTCCAGTGGTGGGTGAAGTGAAGTAACATGGGCTAGGAAACGGGGCATGAAACACAGTGATAATCTGTATCCACAGGACTAGCGGTCTTCCCAGCCCTGGCTTCTGGCGTGTCCTTTCCAAACATCCAGTCCGGCGCAACAGTGTCTTCACCATTGCACCTGGAGTTCGCGGTTGACGGCTTGACGGTCAAGCCTGCCGGTAAGAGCTGCAAGCCTGAAGTACGCACTGAGAAACGGAAATTGAAGATTCAAGTGCTGGGCCTGGTGCTTGGGGGCTGTCAGCACCCTTGATGGGAGAGGGTGCGCATTGGAAACATCCTTCTCTGCTAGGGCGTGTTGTAATTATTGAATTGCTCAAGCGAGGTATGAACGCATCCATGCTCTTATGCAACGTGGTCTGCTTGTAATGGACGTAACCTTGAGCGGTACATGTGGGTGCGGACGAGTAGCGACGGGCGAGCTCGCGCTGCCGCTCGCGGCTCTCCGCTATGCTGCACCATAGCTTCTTTGGCCTGATGTCTGCGCAGACGTTTTGCAGGAAAGTCTTGCAATCTATTCGGCTGATGCAATGTGACTTTTTCCATTTGTGCAGCGGAGGGCATCGTGGCCGGAACGGGGCACCACCACGTCATCATCGACGCTCCTGCGCCAGCAGCGGGCACTGCAATTCCATTCGACGATGCACACAAGCACTTCGGAAAGGGCCAGACGTCTGTCGATCTTGAACTACCGCCTGGGAAACACACATTGACGCTGCAGTTTGCGAATGCAGCTCATGAGTCCTATGGACCGGAATTCGCCAGCACCATCAGCGTAATCGTGGAATAGACGACACGGTCTGAGGCGGACATTACAGTGTGCGGGCCTTAGGATTTTGTGTCTCTGTCGTGGCTTGGCGAAGCGTAGGCATCGGTCTAGGTTTAGGTCTAGGTAGGCGAGATAGCCTGGAGCACCCTAAAGGAGGGTGAGACGAGGCTTGAGGCCTGTTTCCGTGACTTGCGAGTTTACGGATGACCTGAACCAGTCGTGTAAATGACTCTGCAAGCTTTCTGTCGGGCCCCCAACTCCCTTATTGTCCTACTATTCGTACGACCAATTGCTCCAGCGGTCACCCCTGAACTCCTTCCAAGTAACATGCTTCGCCAAGGAAGGAAACCGTAAACATAGAAGCACACTACCGATACACTGCGCCATGATAGCAGCACAAGATTTCTTTTACGAGTGGCAATAGCTCTTTGTAGTTCTCAGCATGGGTGTAATCCTGTATATTGCTTGCCTGTTATACGCTAATCCGGTATAGAGTTTCCGTACGTCTTGCCTTCATTGCTTACAACTCCTTTTCAGAATTATGTGATATGGAAAACACTCCTTGCCTCCGTTAGCAACTGTCCTTCCTTACAATCCGTCGTACAATTTTTTTTGAAGTCGTTTTATTTAATGTTTCCGCCTGCAACCTTTTCAAAGGCACCTTTGCGTGTGGGTGCTGACGGTGGCCCCACACAAAGCCTTCGGCACCGTATGCCTTCTAGAACACTGTACTAGTCTCCATCTGCGTTTTCGGCTGTCTGCAAAGATGGGCGGTGGTAATGGGCAGAAATCAGCCATGCGGAGGGCAAAGAAATTGGAGGAGTTGCAGCAGTCAAACAAGGGTGCGGACCGCCTTTGGGGTCGCCGGGCTTGGCAGCGGCGACCGTCGTCTTCACATGAACTGTCCGGAAGAAAAGTCGCTGATCATAATGCTTAACATCATATCGCTTTAAGGATTTTTAGACATGTGATGCGTATGACTCCAGTGGCGCCTTGGATTGCAGGCAGCCAGCTCAAGACGAACGCTGCGTCCATGACAATTAAGGTGATTGCAAAATTACTGCAATTAAGAAATAACTCCCTACTTTTACACTTCTGATAAGACGTTCCTGAATCTGTCATCCTCTCCTATGCATCGTGACGCGCAGTGCAACATTTGCATGACATCTTTTGTCTGTACTACTTCAGGTGGGCTTGGATTACTTTGTTGGGTTACCTGTGCTGTGGGTCGCTAGCGGTTGGGGTGTTAACCCTACCTCCCGCCTCTGTACCGCGCACAAAACCGTGTTGTGCCCATGATTGAATGTACAGAAAAGCTTTTGAGGGAGCACTGGGAGAATAAGCACCCAAAGCAGCCCCTTGAGGTACGTGCAAGGGTTTCGCGAAAAGGGAGTTGACACGTTTGCTTAAACTGGTGATTCCTACTGCCAGGCGGCCTTCCCTCAATTTAAAAGCTAAGGCCTCCAATGGCACGGAAGGAACGATGGGCGCCAAGATGGTGAGTTGTTATGGTTTTGCGTGGTATTTTTGTTGTGAGGACGTTCCGTTCGTGATTTGGCCTAGGCGTAACACAGTAACGGTCTTACAATGGGTTCGGGCCTGCTGGTAAGGTGTCAGGGCAGATTTTCTGTCTTAGCATCAGGGTTTTAGTTTGTGCCCAGCCGAGCTAGCGGACCAAGTCTGGTGCCACTGGTGAAATTATTTAGGCGGCTTCAATGCCTGTTCGCAGTTAAAGAGTACCAAGGTTGCAGCTCAAGGCCCGCAGCTCAGGGCCCCCAGGGAGCGCAAGTTGTGCAGAGCGCTGCAAAGCGTTTGGAATGGTGAGCTGGCGTGTGGAAGGATGCTACTTTGGAGGCACTAAATGTCCGGCCTGGCTTGGCCTGGCGTATGTTTCATGCTGCCTGTAACAGTATTGCGTGGGTTGTGGACACGTCCGTACTGCCTGGAAACAGGAATCATTGCCCGCATAAATCATGCACCAGTCGGCACGACAGGATCTCTTGCAATTTGGCACCAACGGGTTGTAATGAATGTCCATTCTTGTGGTTGCAATCCTGGTTGTAAAGTCTATTCTAGTGGACTTAGAACCTTAAGTGCTAGGCCCATGCTGCGTGCCAAGACAATGGTAGACACGGACGACCGGCACGGAGGCAGGATATCCGGCTATATCCGGCCCAGCGCCCTAGAGATAATGAACCGTAGATCAGCTAGGAAGAAAGCGCATGGGATGAATACGCTTCCTCACTGTAGTAGCTGGACGCTGAACAAGGCCTCTGGAGATGCTGGTCGAGCGCTTCGCGCGTATTTGTAGTTGATATGTGTGCCGTACTATGTACCAGCTAATACACCAACAGACGTAATGGGGTCCTCGGCAAGTCACCGCCGCCAAGTGAGAATCCGCTGTGTTCCGAGGAAATTCGATTGAACATGGAGAATGCTAAAGCCAACAGTAAGTAAATGGCGAGAACGCTAGCTGATAAGGAAGGAGTGGAAGAAAACTTTCATTCTGGCGTTGGGCTGTCGCAGTCAGTGATAAGTGATGCCAACATGCTTCGCTAATCCCCAAAGCTACCACCCTAAATCTCCTTAAATGGCCCGTCTTAAGGTATGGAACATATCGATTTTTGGTAAACACAATCGCCGTATAGCGACACATTACATGGCGTTCTGCACCTCTGTGTAGCACGAAGCACTGCATCCTAAAATATGTGGACACTTGACCATCCAGATGTGCTATCCCTTGCTATCCAGGCTCACAGCAATATGATCTCCTGTAGTATACTCCCAATCTGCGCTAAAGGATCCTACAGAAAACCAACGATTTCCGAGGTATAAGTTCGTGATTGCCACGCGGCCGTGGCTTTCAAGGCACGTAGAGGGGGAACCAATCACTGGCCTTTGCATCCCCGTGCGCCAAAAACGGGTTAAATGCACATCCCTCCAATAAAGCAACGTCTGGATGTCCTCCAGTGCAGCAAACAGATAATAGCCAAATAGGCACTAACGCACGCAACAACATTAGGTGCCCAGTTAGCCATGGCACGGATTAGTTCATATCCGGGACCACTATAGCAGTAGCTTAGCTAAGCTACCGCATAAACAAAATTTTCCGTGATCAATTCGAGCACGCATCAACCAGGCCCACAGGCAATGAGATCAACAATTCAGTAGCACACTAACGGCACTCTAATCAGTACGCCGCCGATTCTCTGTCGTGAACTATTTCCTACTGCGCAAGATGCCCTCCATATTGTCCTCATCTATGCAGCTACGAGGACACGCCGCAATTGCAAGGCATGCAACTCGTCATTTTACTATCTGGTTCGCCTATGGTCCCTGCACACGCCCCTGTAGCCTCGCCGTTAATGCATGTGTCCGTCGCACTACATACCATCGCGCTGTCCGGTACCGCACTTCCCGGCGCGTTGATGTCCCTGCTATCACAGTCCCACGAGGCAAACCTGGATAGCCCTAGCTCTTGGCTGCTCGAGTAAGGGGAAGGGGAAACGCGAACGGAGGCGTCCTCAGCGCATCTGCTGGTGGCCCCACTTTCAGTGAGGCAGACTTCCCTGGCGGTATCACTGACGTCTGGCACTCCACAGCTGTCCCCGTCAGTGGCGGTGAAGCCACTTGCTTGTGCACCATCTAAAGATGTAGTGCTGCCATCTTGTCTCCGCACTGCCTGCTCTCGGGGCTGCTGCGGCTGAGGATGCCGCGTCGGTGCAGCGCCGCTGCATGACTCGTCCCACGTGGAGGGGCCATGCGCCGGGCAGCAAGAGGGGGTCGTCCTGCTCGCCTTATTTTCACGCTGACCAACCTGGACGGACGGCACGAAGTCCTGCACATAGCGTGCAGAAGGCACTTGGCGTGGCGTCCGTGCGTCACATTGAGAGCAGGATGCAACCTTCTGGTGCTGGTTGAGATGCTGCATCTCCTGGCGCTGCGAGCTAAGCGTGCTTAGCACGGGTTTGAAGCTTAAATGAAGATCGCTGTGAAGGCGCCAGCGCTCTATCGCGCTGCGCAAGTTATGATTCGGGCTGATGTTGAGCCGCCGCAGATGTAAGCCTGCACGCACAAGGCCAAGACCGTTGTGCGGTAAAAGACAGGTTCCATCCATTACCAATACGCGTGTTAGTGCGCAACCATACGATGGAAAAGATAATTCCATAAGGACGATTTCCTTTTCGGTGGCATGACCAATGTACATGCTGAATGTTGCTGTGGCCATGCAAGGACGTCCACAGCGGATGGGCGGCACAGAAGGCATAACTCAACACACCTGTCCGTGGGCAGAAGCGGTGACCGGTTGACCACCATTCCTCTAGAGCTTTGCGTTCGTAGCTGTGCCCAGTCTCATGCAGCAGTACGGGATCCTGGGGAGAAGCATACAGCACGCGTCCAGTCTGAGTTTGTCGCCGCATGCTTTGGCACAACGACCCTGTTGCACTTCGAGATCCCACTAACCCGTGCGTCACAACGAAGCATAGCGTAGTGCAGACTGTAAGAAATCACGCGCTGTGGTTGAGATGAACCCGCAATCTCCTCCAAGATGAACCCGCAAGGAAAACCAGGACCACCAGCACACGTGCCAGTTCCAATCTCGTACGAGAATGGCAACGAAGGTAATCCACAAGGACTCCTAACTACCGCTTATGCGGCACACACGGAGATGCATCTTTCCCCCAATCATGTAATATCGTGGGCATATGCTGCCCGGCTAATGCTGCCTGTGCCATCAGCTCGCGACAAGGCAGGATATAGCAAATCATCGCAGAACGGTTTTCAGTAAATAAGATCAGATATTCATGTGGTGCACTAAGGCACAACGCTTGCATGCTGGCTCGTAATTAGAACCCCAGCCATGGTTCCCTCCCATCGCACCAGGCTGCAAACCCCCTACCTGCATGAGCTGGTGTGTCAGCGGGCACAAGAAGTCCAGGGGTGCCTCGCTGTCCGTGTTCACTTGACTGGCCCGCACCACGTCCATCAGCATCCTAAGATAGTGCTGCTCGGCTGCGTTGTGCCGCGCCTTATCAAGCTCCGGCTGGGAGTGGCCATGTTGCTGTGCCGCCTGGCCAAAGCATTTCGTCGTTTCATATTCCACGAAGCCAAAGGATTGGTCGCATGAAGAGCGGCTACAGGGAAGCTGAGCAGCCCGCAGCATCTGCTGCTGTAGCACCTCGACCTCCGTTTGCAACTCATTGATGATTGCGCAGAAGGCCTACACGCAATCACTCACAAAGTGGGGTTAAACGGTCTATACACGCGTGTATGAGGCGAGTATCTGCAGGGATATTCCAACGATTCACAACCAAGACTGTGGCCATGAGGTTACAACGATTATATTGCGGAACGACAGCTGTGACCATATGTTGGGAAATAGTATCCCACTTGTCCCAGTTTGGTCAGTTGGGCTTTATATGGCACCTTGCAAAGGTACATGCGTACCTCCGCCCTATACACATACATGCGGCGAACCCACATTGCTAGCAACTGTGTACGATGCCGGACCGGAAAACCTGTCACAAGAGATTTATGCAGTTTATGGCGTCGTCCTTACCTCCTTGCTAAGGAGGCTGTCCTGGCGTGTATGCTTCATCATCTCGCTATACGACGTCAACATGATGCGAAAGTGTACGTTTAAGCCATCGCACTGCGCGAAGAGAAGGAGGGAGAGGTCAACTAAACAACGAGGCGAGCTCGTTTCAATCATTAGCAGGTTACAGATGGCAGAGGCGGCCACCGAATATCACATGCTTTTGCATGGCTCCAAACGCTCGTTTCTTAATGTTACAGATGAAGTGGCATAAATTCACGAAAAAATCACTTGCAGACCAAACTGCTGGCGTCTCAAGGGCCGATTAGGGCACGCGATAGGTGCATGATGCAGGCAGTTGTCGCAGGATTTTGATTTCCTGTTCCCAGCTGCCACGGTCACATACTCTAAGCTTACTCCATTTCCTTTTCCCAATCACATCAAGTTGCCCCGTATCGCCATGCTTACCGCCTTGCGGAAACGCTCCAAGTTAGCGATGTGCCCTGCGGGTAGCTTGAAGGCTGCGCGCTGTAGGAGCTCTCGGACAACGCACAGCTCGGCCAAGGTTTCGGCAGGAACCGCAACGGCAACTGCCAACGCTGCAGGTCCACTGCTGCTAACACTGACAGGTGGGCTAGCAGTGCACTGTGGCCGGCATGCTTCAACTTGTAGGTGGCCCAGTGCGGCATGAAGATATGTTGTTGCAGCCGTGAAGCGCCCAAGGACTCGGTCCGCTTGCAAATACTGAACCAGCGGACCCTTCTCGCCAGTTTCTAATAAAACATGCAGAAGTGACGAGAAAACCCCCTCGATCTCCTGCCAGCGAGGTTACGGGAAACTTTGACATTAACCAACTGAAATGGGGTGTCCCAAGATCAATACTCCATCGGAAAAGCTGGCAACTGAGTTCCTTTTAACGACAGATGAGAAACCCACGGTCCTTTTTCATGCGCATTCGTGGAAACAAAGATGCACGCTTATTGCCTCATTCATCATAATGATGACCTCAAGGTATGATTATCATCCTAATTAGGCCTGTGTCTGGACATTAATTCCTTGGTAATCTGGCATAAGCGGCTAGCTGCAACATCTCCGTGCGATGGCTGACACGCGTAACATGGCAGGCCCTCACCCGAAGGCTGCCCCAAACTCGAACTCCCCGAAGATATGGCTTTATGTCGGTGATAACAGCTTCTACTCTTCTAAGGTACCGATGCAATTTTCGGGCCTCATCTAAAAGTCCGCAATGGTCGTCGAGCTCCCAAGCTGCCTCACCAATGGTCTTAACAAGGTTACTCAACGAGATGCAAATATCTATAACGCTGGCCATCCGTCAGCTGCACTTTTCCACAATTATCGCGAGCCTATTGGGCTGTAGCGCATGCAAGTGCTTCTAATTGAGCACGTCACGAGGTAATTTGCTTGGACAATATACTCAAGTCCTAGCAACATTACTTACTACTGTTAAGTGTGTAATGCCTGGCGTACGAAGGGTCGGGCGCGTCGTTGGGCGAAATATGATAAGAATGAAGAGCAAATTATACGAAACTGCAAAGCTCCCTAGCCCATCATTATACGAATTTTCTCAGCGTGGTACTTGGTCGATGTTACAGGCAGGGCTATCCTCGTCATCATTACAGCTATCCTCAACAGTTCTGTTGCCAACCTTGCATGTGTCTCTCACCAGCTCTGCTTGGCTTGGATCTGATCTTAGGAAGACCAGGGAAGGGGCTATTAGGCCGGGCCCTGGCCGGGCTCGTCGCAGGTCAGCTTGATTTTTCGAACCCTAGGCGATATCGAAGGGTTTGACGTGCCCAGGTTCTGAACCCCGAAGTATTGTAACAGGAGTGCCGTAAAATTGTAAACTTTGACACCACCTTGCCGTAGCCTGTACACGCAATACTTGCAGCGGCTACCCAGTGCTAACCTTGAAAAAGTAGGGTGACCGGACACTTCGCCATAGAGGCACTACGGTATCGTCCAAGTACGGTATCCTTTCATGCCGAGCAAGGTCTGGAAGAACCGGCGCATGGGCCAATGGCGATAACGCCACGAAAGACACACATGTGCATGTACAAAAGAGACTACTCCCTCGCATTGCAAACCAATCCTTTCATCAACAAATGTTTGTTTGGTGCGCTCACCTACCCGTGGCTATGGGTGGCTCAGGGGACATCAATGGCTGGTGACGGCGAGCATATTGCGTTTACTTGTATGCACGCGCGGATGAAGCCATGAACTACACCACACTGCACTCGGCCTGCGGTGATACCTACAAGTGCCGCACTGCGTCGTGCTGGAAGAGGCTGGGAGCTAGCGTGTTCGGCCAGTTTCGGTCCCAATTGAAACACCTGTGTGAGGTTTCAGTGGCAGTGATGGGCACGGACCAAACCCTCGAGTAGACAGCGTTTATGGCGACTCCCACAGATGGTGCAGAAGTTGCAAGATGATACATGGTGAATGTTGCCAAGCACCTTGGCAACGACGAGCGTCACCATAAACAGAATGTCCGGGTACAACTCATAGAGATATGGTCGTGGATAACACTTGATCTGCCAATTGATATTGCCGTATAAACCGCCGCTCCCTTCTGGGGTTCGGCAGTTGCTCGAGCGGCACCATGACTATGTGGCCTGGACTCGGCAATATAACTTTGTAGTGGAGCTTTACACTTACCTTATTACCGTACTATGAATTAACCCAAGTAAAGAAGTAAGCCAGGGGCGGTGCCCCAACCGCAGAACATGGCAAGCGGGAAAAAAGTCACGGACCGCTTCTATTTCTACGAGGAATTAGGCCGAGGAGCATATGGGCAGGTTTACAGGGGTGTGGACTCTCTGTCCGGTCAAGTTGTAGCAATTAAGCAGATCTCCCTTACTGGCATCCCGTCAGATAGCCTTCAGACGGTGATGGGAGAGATTGACCTCCTAAAGACGTTGAACCACAGAAACATCGTTAAATACATTGGTTCCTTCAAGTCGCGGACGCACTTGTACATTATTCTTGAATATATGGAGAATGGCTCGCTGGCCAGTATCATCAAGCCCAATAAGTTTGGGACCTTTTCCGAGAGCCTTGCTGCAGTCTACATAGCTCAAGTCTTGCAAGGTCTTCAGTACCTGCACGAGCAGGGCGTCGTTCACCGTGATATCAAAGGCGCCAACATTCTGACAACTAAGGATGTGGGTAGGGGCATGTCAGAAGCGGTGCCGGAATGCGTTGCATGGACAGCTTACGTGGAGGAGGGGAGGGGGAAGTGTGCCGTAACCAGGGCGGAAAAGGAAACGGAGTCTGAAGACCTCTGATAGAGGGCCGAGCCCCCTGTACAACCTTGATATACTTTAAGTCTTACATGTGCTCGGCACCTTAGTCAAAGCAGCCCTGGACTTTTGCTGGCGTTGTTACCAGGGGCTGGTCAAATTGGCAGACTTTGGTGTCGCAGCGAAATTGGGCGAGCTAGATGAGCGAAAGGACGAGCTGGCAGCGTCGGTGGTGGGCACGCCGTACTGGATGGCGCCAGAGGTGGGTCAGCATAGAGCTTGCAAGGCCAACAGTGGCCAAGTGTGCATGGGGGTTTTGCCAGGCTGGGGCCAGCCCTAAATCGTTCACGCGTACGCAAGATCATTTCACAGCTTCCTCTTTTGTTCTATGTGGAGTTTGAGTGACAACATCCTGTATTTCACGTGCCTGAATCATTGCATCATTCCGTTGCTCGCTTCCACATGTTATTCAAATCAGAGCGGGTCCACACGCGAGTAGGATGGTCTTAGCCTAACGTTATTGCTTACAGTTCATCTGGAATGTTCACTGGGCGCCCTGTATAGGACCCGACCAAGCATTCCCGGCGGTTGCGTCGGGGTGCAGGCCGTAGCTCTACCCAGTGCAGTTCAGCGGCTCGTTGAAGCCTTGTCTCACGTGTAGATGTTCCACATGGCGCATCTAACCCCACAGGTTATAGAGATGACCCAGGTGACAAGCAGCAGTGACATCTGGTCGGTTGGCTGCTTGATCATTGAACTCCTGACAGGCTACCCACCGTACTTCGACATGGTGCCCATGTCGGCGATGTTCAGGATTGTGAAGGTCAGGCGGATTAGGAGAGGGGAAAACCAGGCGTATCGGTGTGCCACGCACATGCACGCATATCATGTTGCACTGAAGTCTGGACGAATAGAAGGCATGGCGGGGTGACCTAGGAATGCAGGCACAGCCAAGAATGCCATTGTGCAGAAATGGCCAGCGTGGCAGTTTATCCGTATGAAGCCAGAAGGGTATGTCGCCAGTTTCACAAGGTGCGTAAGGCCACTAGAAGATCGCTTGGTCTCGCCCCGTCCGCCTGTCGGTGATGTGCAGGACCCCCAACCTCCCTTGCCCGAGAGCATCACCCCGCTCCTGCGGGACTTTCTGTCCCTGTGCTTCCTTAAGGTAATCGGCGAATCTACGGCGCGTCCCTCTCATCCTTCGCATAGTAGGGCGCGCTTTCCCTGCCGCCACGGCATGGGCACAGGAAGCTCGTCTTCATTTTGTGCCAAGCCGGGTTAAACTACCGGCCCTATTCGATTATCACGTGGATACTGTGCGGCGCAGGATGCCAAGTTGCGACCGGATGCAAAAACGCTTCTCCAGCACGAATGGATGCAGTATAATCGCCGCACCCTGCGGATGAGCTGGCGCCGGGACAGGGGCCAGACCTTTCGCACGCTCGTTCAGAACCGCACGGCGGCGCGGCAATCGCCAGATGCACACGAACACATTAGCAGCGTCGTCACGCGGATGATGGCCGCCGCGGACGAAGAGGTGTCTGGTGGCGACGCAGCGAATGCAAACGGTTTGGATAGCGTTTCGTCGGGGATGCTTGGCCCGTTAGGTGCAGGTGCGGCGGTACCGCTTGACAGGGGCTCCCAGGATCCGTCCGCATTGGGAGCTGGCGGTGACGGACGGATCAGCGGTAATGAGGCTGGTGTTCCAGCTGCGGCGCCAGCCGGTGAAGAACCGACAACCGCGTTGCTGGCAACTGCACCACAGTACAGTGACTCAACATCAGCGGCGGTGGGTTCTACCCTGCCATACACGCTGGCGGAACCGGCACCATCAACATCGCCAAGTGCCAACGGTGCAGATGCCGGGGCATCAGTGTGGGCACCACAGAGGTTGGAAGGGCTGGCGATGCCACCTCAGGCTGGGGCGGCAGGGCCCGCCGCAGCAGCCGCGATGGTGCCAGGAGGCCAGGGGGCGGACGCAGCACCTGCTGCACCCCATTTGCATCATGCCGTGGACGCAGGGCACGCCTGGGCGGTGCCGGGTGGAGTGCAGCCTGGTCCCCTCATGGGTCTCATCCAGAGGCTTCACGGCACGGCAGTTTGTGATGGAGCAGGGGCGCAAGGAAGGCCCAATCCACGCGACCTTGCGGGATGGATGGATGGCGGCGGGCAGGCGTATGATACGTTGGGCCATGTATCACGGCCTGCAGGCGCATGGCCTGGCGCAGACTCAAGTGGGTAGCCGAAAATCCAGCCCTTGGATGACTGTCTGGCCACGAGAGTTCTCTGTGACATGGTCAGCGGTCAGGGGTGTAAGGTTGTAGCTGCCAGGGCTGTAGCTGTTTGGGCATTCCAGGGTAACATAACGACTGTCCATGCCCTGTACATCATGAGCGTGCTCCGCACCGTATGGAGCACTTGCACGTCGCTGCATATTCAGTTGTTGCTACGTGTCCAAATTCAAGCTTGACATCTCCACTTGGTGATAGTGTAAACGAACAGACTGGCTGCACACGTCGCAAGTGGCATACAGCACCAGCAAATCCTGGCCCACTACAGTGACTGCCGCAGGGTACGTGGACACACATGGGACCTGGGGACCCTTGGAGGCGGATACTGTGGGCAGCAGCCTCACATCGCAAGCGACGTTGCTCAGGCGGCAGGTAACTGGCAGCGACACCAGAATATACCGGTTATCGTTGCAGCTGCTTCCTGTCGCAGCCGCCGTGCATGCGGGCCACCATGTACACTGATTGCCTTTGGCGAGACGTAACTGACACGGTTCGAAGCGAAGTGTGCTGTGTACAGTCGCGTTGCGGTGCCAAGGCACATTTATCTTGGTATAGGTACATGCTTCTGGTGCCGACTGCAGGTTCGAGACCTCGTCCAAAAGATGAGGCCGGGCGCACGGCAAGAGCCGCTAACCTCCAGAGAACCCTTAACCGCAAGAGAAGGACCTGCAACCAGCGCTGCAAAAGCCATTAAGGAACTCGAGCAGATGATCTCTGCGCCGGTGCCCCCTCCGCTCGCCTCACCCTCGGGCCCGTGGCAAGGGGTCGGGGAGGAGACCCAGCACCAGCCGGCGGAGGTGAAGGCCATGTTCCTGAGTGAGGGCGGCGTCCTTGTCATGATGGAGGTGCTGGATGCGGATAACCAGAAGGTACGTAGTCCCGGCGGCTCGTAACTGGGCCATGGCTTTCTCGCCCTACCTTGATGGTCGACCGAGCTTATTTTGCACCTACGCGCCAGTAGTGTACTCATGGCGCTGGTGCCCGTGGGCGAAAGCGATACTGGTGACTGTTTGATTGTCGTGCGTTTGGCCCATGTACTCTCTTGCTATTGTGTCAACACCCCAATTGCTGTACTGACGCTGGATTCCGCAGGCGGTGGAGGCGGTCCTTGACCTGCTCATGGTGCTCATCCGTGAAGATGTACGCCTGCTGGAAAGTTTATGCTTGGTAGGCTTAGTGCCGGCAGTTACACGATACACGCAGCAGCCGTATCCCGTCAGCCTTCGTCTTAAGGCAGCCGCGTTCGTGCACTCCCTATGCTTCCAAGGAGACTCGACCTTGCAGGTGCGCGACGCAGGGGAGGTGACTCACTCCAGGAACGGGCTCGAGTGGTTAGGGTTTAGGGATGTGTGGCCGTGAAGATGCGGATTTGTATGGTTTCACATGCTGGCAGGCCGTCGCATTTCTTTGTTCTGTCAACGCAGCTGCAAGCATCGCCAAAAGGCCTTGGCTCTTTCATGAGCATCGAGCCTATGCCCTTGATCTGGAGAAGAAGGCTGGTATCAGTTGTGCTGTCATCCGCTGTGCTTGGCCTCTTCTTGGTGACTGCAGTTATTCATTGCAGCCGGCGGCCTCCGGCAGCTTTGTTGGATGGTGGCGGACAGCGTCGCTTCGGAGCCGTCGCCACTGAGCCACGTCGCTATACAGTGCTTGCTGCAGGTAATGTTAGATGGGTGGATACGGACACGGACTAAGTCGGGTTATGCTTGGAGCTTGCCTAGGTGTGTGTTGCAATAGGTGTGTGTCGCAATGTAGCTCCTGTCCTGCCTACGGGACTCTACATGAAACACCGCAGTGGCCTGTGAGTTTGTGGCGCGCTGCACTGTGTCCCCGCAAACATGATCCGCCCTAATCCGCAGGTCCTCCGGTGCTACAACACCCTGCCGCGCAACCATGTCTGCCGCATCCTGGCGCAATGCGGCCTGGTGCCCCGGTTGTATAAGCTACTGAAGGAGGCTATCCTGATGCGGAACAACTTGGTGCAACACCACGCTTCTCAGCCCGGTCGGGGCGCTGCCAACGCTGCGAACGGTGTTGGTGCCTCGGGGCCCCCGAATGCAGCACAGCAGGCCGATGGTGCTGCTGCTCATGCTTCGGGGGCCCACCATGTTCGGTCCGTTTCAACTGCACCCTTGCTATCTGAGGGGCCAGCACGGAGGGGCCCAGAGCCAGGCGTCGTGCCGGGCACGCCTGCCGGGGGTGGTGCTGTTGCTGGGGTGCACCGCACGGCAACGGCACCGTTGCTTGCCGGCGCGGGGTCGGGCAACTTGGGGACGGCTGTGGAGACGCGAGGCGCTGGCGGCATAGGTATTCCTGGTGAAACGCTGACTTATGAGCAGGTGAGGTGCACTGATGTCGGCCGGAGCGGCTTAGTGGAATACAGGGCAGAACGTCAGGCTTTCTGCTGCTTGACCCTGCCTCTGCTCGGCCTGCTTTTGCTCGGATTCCTCATGTCGGCAACTTGTGTGGAATCCCTGTCTGGCTTATGGCACGCTTTGTTTATAGGTGCTGTACCTGATGGACGAAACGGTTCGATTGCTGGTGGTGCTGAGCAACGCCGATGGCGCCGTGAAGAGCGCGATGTGCACACGAGACAACCTGCTGCAGCACCTAGATTGTCTGCGACGCCTGCAGCCGCCGCACCTGGTCCAGGTGGGGAGTCCAAATAAGCGATGAATTATGGGGCGGCCGGTCAGGGCTGTGGCATGCATTGGGCTCAGAAAGGAAAAGATATTTCCCGTCATGCCTTGCGTGTGCGAATGGGAGGGGCAGTAATGGGACGTGTGTAGGCGAGAAGGCAAGGAACAGATCTCAATGCGGTTTGTCCGCTATTTATATTTTGCTGCGCTGACCGGCAGCCCAAATGGGGTTCAGCGCGCGGACAGACGTCCCCGCCATTCGCGGCTGAGAGCAGGTTTTGCTTAAGGCAGCGAAGATTGCACTCATGGGTCGCTGTTATCCTATGTGATCCCAGTCACCTTTTCGCATGTGTCGAACCCACAGATGCTTCACTGCATGCGCAACCTCACGAGCGATCCGGCGGTGCTGCCCGCTATCAAGGACGCCGGTGCCATTGCTTGCCTGGTCCCCATGCTGGCGCATGCTTCTGATGGTTCCGCTGCAAGCAATGCTGGCGCCGGTTCGGCCGCCACGGCCGGTGCAGCGTCCAGCGGATCAGGGGCATCTACGGGTCCAGGGACCAATATTCTGAACGCCGCTGGTGTACTGCCCAAGAGTGAGGTCCAAATGGAGGCGCTGAATGCACTGTATAATCTTTGCATGTACAATAAAAAGGTGCGACGGCTGTGCAGCGTCTATGGCCACATTGCCCATTGCAGGCTCCTGGGTGGACCATGCTTGCTTTTCCTCCCCTTGCACGTCCTTTCCTCCTATTGGGAACCGTCCGCCATTCTTCATCGCTGGCGCTGCTGCTTTGCGTACCATTGCGTGGGTTTTGTTCGCGAATTTTGTGCCTTGAAAGCTGAAGTTGCCTTACCGTACGGTGCCCCACCTATGGTTGTAGGTCCATATGGAAGCTGCGGCTTCATCCAACATTATCCCGCATCTCTGCTCGTTTGCCGCTCAAGGTTGGGCAGCCGTATCCAGCATCAGAATGCAGCGGCAGGCCTCGGGCGGGCCACAGACACCGCGCCTTGGGCAGACCTCCTCATCACCCACGGACCCAGCCGGCATGGCCCCGGGATCGCCCGCAGCCCTTGCAGCAGCCGCGGCACAGTGGCCCACCGTCCGCGGATTCGTTGTTCCTATGCTACTGGGAATGGTCTACTGCAGCGCCAATACTCGCATGAAGCTATTCCAGAGCCACGGCCTTGAGATCTTCCTACAGCTGCTATCCAATGAGGTGCCAACGGCGTCGATTATGATTTCGGGTGCATATGTCCGGATGACTGGATGTCCCTAGCTAGTCGGGGACCACACCATGCATATAGAGGCCAAGTTGATATATATTATTTACTCAACGGCGCACCCGTTATCACAGATACGCTGACGGGAATGTGCGCCAGGGTTTTTGCGATCCCCGCATCTCTCGCGCATGAGCAACTGCGAACGCTGCAACATGCCACGACTTGAATTTATCACGCATCGTCATCCCGTGGATGCTATTTGCCATTTAGTATCATGAGCGCAGAAGATTACTAACGGTTGATGGGATTGCTTGCGCCTCGGCCTTATAAAATGCATAGGACAGCCGCAGCGTGCTGGGCGTGCTGCAAGCTCTGGACAGCTGGCTAGCGGAGGACCACAACCGTGTGGAGGCACGGCTGACGCAGCGGGACGCGGTTACGCACCTGGTGCAGTTATACTCCAGGAGCTGCGCGGCGCAGGTAGGATTTCCTAGCGTGGGCTTGCATCGGTGATTATGCTTTGCCGTGCTTGCTGGCAAGATGAGGGACGTTGAACGAATGGACCCGCAGTCCACCGTCAGCATATTCCGCTTTCCTTGGATATGCATGCATGCGGCCCGCTTTGGCGTACCTGTAGGACATGCAATCCAAGCTTGAGACACTGCGGACCATGCTGGGCCGGTCGTCGAAGCTCGCGGTGGCGCTCGCGATGGGCGGCCTTGTGCCCTGGCTGCTGGCCATGATTCAGCACGCCGCGCCCATCAACCGCGTCAAGATTTTGGATATTGTCAGGTGCGTTATCCGTCCGTGTCGCGTGACGTTCATCTTGGCAGGTGTTGAGGGCTTGGGTGTATGGCTTCCATGGATATATTGTGTGTTAAGGAAAACCCATACACATGGCATGGGAACGCACAGCGGGTTCGGCTAATTTGTATGTTCGGTCCAGGGTACAGTACGGCGGTTTCTGTGGAAATTCACTATTCGTATTTTACCACTCACGTGGCGCAGGATACTGTACGAGCACTATCCTCGGCCCAAGGAGTTTATCATGATGTATAAGATTCAAGACATCCTGGCCGCGCTGCTCAAGACACATGGCCGGGATGCAGATGCCGTAATTCAGCAGGCGCAGCGACTTTTGGCTGCCTTTGACATTAACGTGCTCCTGTGAGGTGCATGACTGGCATGGAGCACGTTGCAGCTTGTGGTGTCGTGGATAAACTGTGTATGGCAGCGCTACGGGAAAGTGCGCACCGTTGTGCACGCGCTCGAACTTGCCGGCGCGTCCTAGCGCTGCTGAAAATATGGGGGAGTAATGTGGTGGCAATGACAGGAGGCTTAAAACCTGTGAAGGAATGGCAGTTAAGGAACGTTGGTCCTGGGTTTTTCTGACGCTGAAGGCTCGCTTTGCCAGGGGAGATGCGTGGGCTTCTGCCTCTTGGGAGCATGTATTGGTGCTCCACGGTCCCAGTGTCCAACCTCCTATTACCTGGATTGGGGTTGCTGCGGTTATCCGTTCCTGCGCCATGTGGGCTACATGCATAATTGTCTTCGCACTTACTTCGGATTAGAGTGGTCATAAAACCTGACCATTGACGTGGCGCTTGTATAGCAACCTATGCTGCGCAGTCGGCTGTTTGGAAACACCATCATCTGCATCGTTTGGGATTGTGAAGGTTTATGCCTGGCTGGAATGCGGTTACAAACATGGAGAGTTGGGCATTGGGATGGAAGATAGCGGGTACACTGCAACATTTGCAGGGCGCCAGGAACATGATGAGGTGACGGTGCGTTATACGCATGTAACTGACTAGTCGACACGCCTCGCAGCTGTGGCTCTTATCGTACGCATGGCACAAGTTTGGGGTTTACTTCATGCATTTTGATTACCCTACAGGATCCAGGGGCCAATACAGCCTGTCCTCAATGGAGGCCATAATGCGTCGGATGGTGACGCAGGTTCTATAGCTAACATTATTTGCAAGCTCGTGAGAACATCCAGGGATCAGACCCGTCAAGTTACCAGGGTAGGGTAAATGGCGGTACAAAGCAGGTTGTGTGAATAAAATGCTTGCTGGATCGACACACAGCGGAATCAACCAAAAGATTTCCATAGCCACAGGGTTACTGATGCGACGCACTCGAACAGCGTGCGCCTCATCTCGTTAAGTCGGTATTGCAGGGGTTTTTACAGCCTACTAAGCAACAGGTGAACGAAAACTTGACTGCAGCTTGGGCTTGGGGACCCGGCTTGTTCCCCGCCCCCTCCGCTCGATTGGACGTGACGAAATCTTTTTCTACCGCTTTGCAAGCCTCCCCGTCCATGTCTCTAACTAAAGTCCCTTGCTTCATATGCCAATAATGGACCGGACTAGTCGATATCGTTCTCCGCATGTACGACATAAGTCGCGTACAATGTGTTGCAATTTAGTTCCGGTTACTTTTCCGGCTCTAACTAGAACACGCGGCAGATCGACACAAAGCATAAAATCGACGAAATAAGCTCCCTGACCGAAACCGCTTTGCCGGCGAGCAGCATTTCGCTGAATGGTGTAATAACGAGTGAAACGATAGTCGTGAGCAAATTTACTAGCAACAAGTCACCTGGTTTCTTGCGCTGCAGACTGGTAGGTGCCGAGCATATCCGATGTGTCCTTGCGAGCCTCTGGCTGAAGATATTTAATGCAGCCTGAACGTTGTCCGACATTATCAGCCATCCTCCAGGTGCAAGCTGGTTCCGGCGGTGGACGGGAAGTAGTGCCCCTGCCGCTAGAAGCGGCTTGGGTGGGCTGTGGTGTCCTCTATTAGCGGCAGGTTGCTGCGTCTGGCTCTCTACATTATTTTGCAGCTCAAATGACCAGCCGGCAAACAGAAAGCTGGAGAGTGCCCCCCCCATCAGGGCGTCAAGAGGCTCCAGACCTCGTAACTGACTCCGAGTCAGAGGAGTCTGAAGATGCGTCCGGTTCCGATCAGGAGGAGCCGAGCTGGTACGGTGTCCTGTTCACGCGGAAACTAGGAGGGCTGGGAATACGCCGCCCCGATTTGAGGCCGCCTACTGCATCCCGGAAAATTTGTTTGTACATTTCTATATTCCTGCAGGATTTCGTGGTTTTGCAGCCTTCGTGGTAATGAGTTCTTCTGCGAGGTTGACGAGGAATACATAGAGGATGACTTCAATTTGTCGGGGCTTAGCTCGCAAGTGCCCTACTATGAATATGCACTGGATATGATACTGGATAACGAGCCCCCCCACGATGTGATGCTCACGGACCAGCAGCACGAGCTGCTTGAGAGCGCAGCAGAGATGCTGTATGGGCTCATACATGCAAGGTGATTACGGAACCGCTACAGGGGCATGACTGTGGGTATGTAAGCGTCAGAGCCCGTACTTATAGATGCCGGGGTTTTTGCGGCGACGGCCGTGCGCAGGTATATTGTCACGGCCCGGGGGTTGGCGTGCATGCTTGAGAAGTTCAAGAACTACGAATTCGGCAGGTGCCCCCGCTTCTATTGCGAGGGGCAGGCCTGTCTCCCGGTCGGCACGTCGGACGTGCCGGGGCAATCAACTGTGAAAATTTTCTGCCCGAAGTGCGAGGTAGGTGCAGTAGCATGAACATACGTTTTGAGTACTTACCCAGATTATAGGGTCAAATTGTTTATATCTACGTAGATTTGTACGGGAAGATGCTGCCGCTCTACGGCGAGGCATAGGACGGACGAACAAAAAATAAGTTTATGCGATGTTGATGCCGCGGTGTATTGCTTCGATAACCCTCCAGGACATTTTCTACCCGCGCTCCGAGTATCAGTGCAGCATTGACGGGGCGTACTTCGGTACGACTTTCCCACATCTGCTACTTATGACCTACCCTATGTACAGGTGGGCACTAGCGCAGTGGGTTACCTATGCTCATACTTGGTCATTCCATCCATCCAACTCTTTCCAGGCGCATCATTGTGTAAATGGCGTCGTGTCCACGTTGTCCATGGGGAACGAGGAGGGCCAATGATGTTCCGTTGATAGAAAAGCTTTCCTGAGCGCACTGAATGGGGGTTGGCCTTTGCTCTGTCCTCCCGTCTCTTGCTCCATAAGGCCGCCCAAGAGCATGGAGCAGTATGTGCCGCGCATTTTTGGCTTTAAGCTGCACCCCACGGCGTACGGCAATCGAGAGCCGGCGATGGCGCGAACTAACCAGCGGAGGATAGCAGCACGGGAAGCAAATCCGAAGGACGGTCAGCAAAAGCAAGAAGACGATAGCTTGTAATCCTGCAATATGGGGAAATGCTCCGCGGTTAGGGTGCAACGGATGCCCAGCAAGGGGAGCACTGTAGCACGTCGCTCTTTGACGACATGCCTGGTATGGCTTGCCTACCGACGTGCGCCCTGAAGCAGGATAGCGTTTCTGAGCTCCCGAATTGCCAAAAGGGGTCTTTACGGACTATGCCGCTCTTCTGCGAGCATGCGCCAAAGGTTGCATATGCAGAGACCTTGTGTGGTCTTGTGCGGTCTTCAAGTGGAGCAGGGCTGTCATGCCGTCTGCAAGCGCTCGCTTCCTGTATTTTGCAGGTTGCAGAAGAGAGGGAATGTGCGGGTCTGAGGCATGGGGCATACCAAGCACCCCGATGCCGCACATTTGGCTTGGACGATGTTAGTTTGTCCACTCAGATTTGGCAATTTGTCAAAACCCTGGCGTGCGATCGGGTGCATATGTGCTGCGGTCTTGGACGTGTTTTGTGGCACGTGTCTATGTGGAATTACGTTACAGGGTGTTGTGCTATTGTCGTTTTGATGATAAGGCGTCCTGCATATGCGCATCCATGTCGTTGCATGGACTCCGTGCGATTCAGGCGACGCATCGTGCTAACGGGGCTAGGAACTCAATCAAATTGTCGAAGTCCATAAATATGGCGGCGTTTCAGGCTGCGTAGTGAAAATGCCTAATGTGGACTGCAGCATGGCTACGTGACAACACAAAGAGCTTTTACTGGCTTTTGATGGCTTGGGCGCTTCGTTTCAATCATGTCGTTTATTACAACGATGCCATGCAACCTCACATGGTTGCCTGCACGAAAATCCCAGGTCCTTTCAGGGCCACGACCACACACAGGTCGATTACCGGGCAAAAAATGACACAGAAATCCAATGACATGGCACAGTTATTAGCAGCATACGCCCGATAACTACAACACCATGTCGCCCACGTGTCACTGATTTTCCACATTTCACTGATTAACCACACAGGACCACTCTAAACTGCGTTACCATCAAATCACCGCACATCACAGCATGCTCACCACCCACCCACCCTGCACTCATCCATCGACAAAACTTGACGCAGCGCATTCGAGACTGGTAAATTAGCCATTTGAATGAACATCCTGCAAAACTAACCTGCCCATGTCGTCAATCCTTTCTAGAGGAGCTCCTGCATATTCGAAATAACCCGGAATCCATGCCCATCGGGCAGTGGCTTGTTGCCCGCCCGCACCACCAGCACCGCCTTCCAGCCCGCCGCACTGGCCGCCTGAGCCTCTGCCAAGCTATCAGTGGCAAACAGGATGTCTGCAGGCGAGTCGGTGCCCAGTGCCAACGCAATGTTATTGTAGCTGGACGACTCTATCTTGGCGCCCGATGTAGTATCGAAGAAGCCGCACAGGTAGGGCCGCAGATCACCAACCTAAAGCACGACCGGCCAATGATTAGAAAATGAGCTAGTGTGCCAACATTATCAAGGAAGGTGCTTGCGAATAGGTCTTGTGCTCTTGATAGGTCAGGGAGCCACAGCAACGCTATCGCGTGGCCTGGAGTATGCAAGAATCGAATTGCTGTCCACTCGGTTACCGTAGCTTTTATATATTTGATATCGGCCGATACAAACGTGCGCAACACACGAATGAATCAACTCGAGCTTTGGCAGATAGCGATGTGCATATCGCAGGATGATTTTCTTAGACCCTCGTCCTGTTGACTTTCCCTCCTGCCCCTGTTGACTTTCCCAATTCCCCCCTCCTGCCCACCTGCGAGAAGCCAAAGAACAGGCGCTGCGCCTCGCGGCTGCCCGATGAATAGATGTAGGTCTTAATGCCCGCCGAGCGCCACTCCACCAGCGCGTCTGGCACATCACGGAACAGCTCGGACCGCATGGCGCCAGACTCGAATCCAGACCTCCAGATGTGTCCCTAAGAATATTGTAACAGCCAAGGGCACCAGGAGCACCGAGTCGTCCGCGTGCGCAGTTCACATCTGTGATCGGTGCTTAATGGGTCCTCCTCTTCAAGTGCGCCACGGACATGACTTCATTGCCTATGCCGCTCCCAAGGCTACCTGAACCCCAACATGCATCTTTCCGTTATGACCGGACCCCGGAGCCTTGCCCTACTCCTCACCTGCAGCGTCTTCAGCGCCGTCACCTTGCGGTCCGCTGCTATCGCCGCTTCCACCCAGTCGACCACGGCATCCACCACTTCAGCCTTATCTGCACCCGCTGGTGGTATCTCGCACACGCCTGCGAGACCCGCCGCCACGTCAGCGGCCGCCTGGCTCCGGATCCGCGTATGTAGGGCAGGGTTAAGGAAACACCGGCGCCAGGCGAGGAGAAAGCGGCAACAGGACAACAGCGCGATATGCGGAGCGGGTTATAGGTGGAGCTTCAGGTGCTGCTAGCCGCTTCAGGTGTTGCTTCTGGCCGCAAGCATCGCAATGACTGGCCCGGCCCCTGTATCCCCGGTCCTGATGTTCGCTTTTGTTCCGTTTTTCCTTACTAGCTTGGCCTGTTCTTGTCTGGCCGGCCCCTTCCCCCTTCTCACGCACCTGCTCCCTGATGAGCTGGATGTCCGCTTGCGTCTCCGCTGAGTCAACGGACCCCTCCAGAAAGGCCCGGCAGTGCTGCTTAGCGTACGGAAACATGACGTCAGCCACGAAGCTGATGGGCGCTACCGTGCCCTCGATGTCGAGCACGATGCAGGTCGGTAGGCTGGAGGGAATAGGGATGAAGGAGGATCACCGGAGCCCCAAGAATGGCCCATAGCAAGCAGTGGAAGAGAACGGTTGGGTGAGGAAAAGAGTAAGAAGAAGACACCGGGCCCCGGGAGGAAACGGACTGGATGGCTCGTAAGCGAAGCAAGGGCGCGGGGCGCGGCGAAGGTCGTGAAAGGCATGTCCTTCTGCCATCGGCTCGCTTTATTGTTTCAATCACCCCACTCACGCTGCACTGTGCTTGACCTTGAGCTTCTTGTGCACCTGACGGTCCACGGTACCGTTTGTAGTTGCCGCCGCCCCGTTGCCGTTGGCAATAATGGGGGCCGGAGGGCGGCGGTAGTCCAGCCCCATGGCGTTCATTCGCACGGCCGCCTCGAACAGGTAATCATAGCACTCCGCCTGCGTCTTGGCCTGTATCCAGTCCTTACCCCACACGTACACACCTGGGAGAGGGCCGGGAAGCAAGAGACAAGCTAACTCTGACGTGTAAGAGGGGGCCCGCGGCTGAACGTGTCAAATGTGTGTGTGTGTGCGCGTGATCCACCACCTTGAGTTCCGTTACTCTCCAAACGTGTAATGTGCATGTCAGCGCAATCCTGTAGCAGTGGCTCCATTTCAAAGCCAGGGGGTTTGGCCGGTAAGGGAAACGAAACAACCCCGAACCTATCTCGCAGTGCGATCTGGCCCATTAACCCCTAATCTAATGCCCCATATCGTTACCAACCGTTCGCCGCCCGGTTGGAACATTTGTTTCTATGTCTCCTTCCGGCATTGCCCCCCAATCCTACCGCTCCCCGGGTCCGTACCATAACGGAGTGCCCACCCAGACACCCAATTACCCATCAGGAACTGACCCACCCACCGTGTCTGCGCACTAGCACCGCGTTCGCCTGCGGGTAGTCCGCAATGGCCTGACGCAGCCGGTCCGTCAGCTCGCACTCACGAGCGGTGTTTTCGATGACGGGCACAATGCACTTGCCGTAGAAGCCATGGCCCTCAATTCCCTGGGGTTAAGGTTGGGGTACCGGGCGCCACGCCACGCCAACAGTTACGCCACACGCACCAAAAGGTTCCCGTATGAACCACATATATACACAAACAGACAACGTGCACACGCAGACACCTGTTTGTGCTGCAGCGGATATAGGGCGCCCGCATTAAGGGTGCACGGGAAGCTGAGACGGGCGAATATGAATGATGGGAAAAGTGACAATGAGACCTGAAAGCTTTCCATCGTGCCAGCGCAGAGGTCTTCTGCGTCCCCGCCAAGCCTATCAGTTAGGACGTGCCCTTGCAAGTACGGCGACCGGCGTGCACGCGACACCTGGCGCAGTTTCTTACCTTGATCATCTCCACGTGTGTGATGACGAACTCGGACGCCTCCGGGTCCAGCATGGTGGCCAGCACGGCGTTCATGGAGTGGCTATGGATCACCGCCCCCGCGTTACGCAGTTCATAGGCCTATCGATGCGTGTGAATTCAGGAGGTCCAGGATGCATGTATTATAGGGAAGTGGGGGGCAGGAATTAAGTCGCCGACGCGATGCCTGGCCACCGGGACCGCTAGCAGACGGACCACAACGGTTTAGTTGGTGGAGTGCTGCCAGTTGAAAATGGGTCATTTGAGGCGTGTCCGTACATCCCGAGCGCCGCAGACCTCCAGATGATGTGACGAGGTATCCCCAGTAAGTACTCGTTTGGGCTAACAACCCGCACCATTGGACACTAAAATGGTAGTCTGGCAGCTTTTAATCCCAGCAGATGTCGCAGTGACCCCGCTGTCCCATCCAACAGCACATCACCAACAAGAGAGGGGCGAGGACCTAACAAAATGGCGATGTGATCCAACGAAGTCGGGCCGTCGCGGGCCGCTGCGCATAACGGTAGCTTGGGCGCAGGGAGAAAAAAGCGGCTCCCTAAGATTCCAGATAGATTCTCACCGCCATGAACAGCGGGGAGCACTCGCTTAGCTTTGGCGGCCTGTTTGGAGGTGGCTTCGTTACTGGCGTGTAGATGACCTCCCCTTTGCTGTCCAGCACGAACATGTCGTCAGGCTGCATACGTTCCTTTTGCACACCCGACGGCGCCATGACAATTTCACCGCCAGCCTTGACAGAGATGCCGCCGCCGGTACCAGAGACCCATCCTTGGTCGTAAAACAAACGACACAGCTCACATATCAGATTTTTGGCTTCGTCCACTGAAATTGACATTGCTGAAGACTGAAGTCTGGCTTGTGTTACGTTATTTATCGAGCAAATTTGCAAATTGTAGATGACAGATCGCGTAGAGCTTGGCACGTCTGTGGCACGCAAGCGCTTTAAAAACAATTCGGACGGCGCTCGCGAAGATGCGCAAGGTGCGCAAGTATGGAGCAAGCTGCAGCCACGGTGCAAGATCCGTGACAGCATTACCCGACGACAAAACCGGGCGCTGCAATTTTTCACATCAGGTTGACGCCGTAGGTCGTACAACAGCGTTCGTTTGCATCGGAAAACCTTCCGTTAACTGGACAAAAAGATAGATACATATATTTTGTTGCATTTAGTGGCTTGCTCCAGTAAAGGTGGCCGGACGGCCTCAACCGTTGGACTAACCAACGCGTGTGTCTATTCAGGCATCAGCGTTACTTTTACCTTACAGTGACTGACAATTAAACATAGACTGGTCATGTCTTTTTGATTAATTGACTCATCTCGGTAATGAGTTTGACACCATCTCCTAACCATAGCTGTACGGCGAGCATCGGCAGCGAGCGGGTAGATAAATCGAGTGCGAGCAGTGCCCCTATAACCACATTTGTAACCACAGTTGAGCTGGACTGCTGGTGTAAGCTTAGGATCTGGAACGGGCCACTGAGGTGTTAAAAGGGTATCGTCGGGCGCATGAGGGCTCATAGGGCATCGCTCGGAGCAGCAGAGAGGAACATGGAGCTCCCTCTGGAAGCCTAACTTGCACGTTACATCACCTCATTCCGTCCTGAATTTGTGCCGAAGCTACCTTCCGAAACTTGAGTTTTGAGCTGGTTGAACAAGCCCTCCTAGCCTTAACGGCGAGGATGTGAACGGCCGTGCTGTGTTGCGGTAGCAATACTTGCCGTGGACTGTAATGGCGCCCGTGTCCGCTAGCACTATGCCAGCGAAGGTTGCGATGGCATCCTTCTACCTCCGTACATGTGGCCGGTGAATCCATACTGCAGAGCCGGCACATGGATTAGAGCGCACTTCAGTGGCCCGGCATAGATGCAGCAAGGCCGTCTTGTATCGAGACACCTGCCTATAATTTGTTCCGCCCTGCCTGGGACTTGCCGTCTCCCCCATCTGTCCTCCCATCCGGTCATCTGTGCTCAGTGCAGCGTTCCTCGCGGCCGCCTGACCACAGCGGCTCCCTCACAGCCCGCTTGCATCTAGGACCCCGCGACCTTAATTTTGCCACTTCCTCCATTTAGTATTATATCCGGGCACACAAGGGGAGCGTCTCCAAAGCGGCGGCGCACGGCAGCAATGGTGCAAACAGCGGGCGGAAACTGGGGGCAAAGGCCCCGTGCTCGATATCCCTAAGAGGACAGTCTTCGGAGTTGTTGAACTTCATATCCAGGATAGCAAGCGGCTCGTGATACCTCGTGAAACCAGTAATTGTAACAGCAACCCGGCCTACCTAGCAGCTACCGCTGTCTGACTCGCCACATATCCACTCAGACCACTTGGTTAGAAGTTAGAACCAGGACCGGAAGCCCCTGGCAAGCTGCTGTGGTTGGCCAGCAGATAAGGACGCCACGTGCCAACATGCACGCAGCGGAAAGCAACTTTTTAGCATGCGGACTGATGGTGGGTCTCCTTAATAGAGCATCGAATGTGTCAGGACAGAGTGATGCGGTGCGGTTTGCAATTGGGGAAACGAGAGCCCGGGTCTAATTGTACCGCTCTGTGGCGCCCGTGGACGTTATCCTCATCGCCAGGGGGGTGGATCCCTACCTGCGTGCTGATGACTGGGCGCTTAGGGTTTTCGCATGTCGTGTCAATCCTGGAAACGTGTCAACTTCATTGAACAGTGGCGATGCCTGGCACAAGACCGCTTATCGGCACGTCGTTACTGCGAGGTATCGTCCGCGGTTGAGAGTACAACGCATACGCCCCCACAGTTTGCACGAATAACATTGTGTCAGGCAGGAGGGTCCAGCTTACAAGGATGCAAAGATGTGGCTAGAGCTTTATGTTCCATTAGGATGTAGGAAAAGCCCCCACATCAATATGCAACTCAATTGAAGCTACGGAACACGCGTCGTATTAAAGCCAGTATGTTTCCCCTTTCCCGGCAAGCCTTTGCAGGGCGCCGGAAATGCGGGATCATTCATAAGGTGCGTTCTTTCCGGCGCGATGTCCTCCGTCCTCCACAGTGCACCGCGCTGCAATGTGCATCCATTCTCAGTGTCTAAGTTTACAAGGAGTGAAATTTGCACACAGTTTATCACGTTACATAAAATATCTTTATGATGCAATCAAATTGATTATTGACTTGTGAAATTTTAAGTCTTGGGACCCTAAGGCTCGTGTGTACGGCAAGCTCGTCGTCCAGCGATCAAATCCCTGTGGGCGTTATAACGACAGCATTTACCATCCTGTTCAGGATCTAACGCCGAGTCTTCAGGATGGCTGCAAGCATGGTTGCCGCTCAGCAGCGTTTGGTGCTTAGCGCCAAGCAGACGACTTGCGGACCTGCTGCGCTGGTTCGCCCCGCCCAGTCTGTCAGCGCAAAGCGCACTGGAGCCGCATCTTCAGATGCTATTCATAACTGTGTTCCTATGCTGTCAGGCATTCGCAGGTGAGGTAAAGAAAAGTGCAGACGCGTCAGCTCCATGCTAAGCCGGCGGCCAAAAGCTAACGCCCGATTAGGGTGTGGAATTACGCTGCAGGCTTGTGTCATCCCGTGCACCTCGCCAGACCCGGTCGGCTGTCGTAGCACAGGCCGCTTCGGGGGACAAGTTCGACTACGATCTTGTTATCATTGGCTGCGGTGTTGGTGGCCATGGCGCGGCTCTGCATGCTGTGGAGTGTGTAAGTACAAGTCAAAAACATTTTGGTTATGTATCAAGGGGTTCAGGCACCATTACCCTCGCCAAATACTAGCGGCTGAGCGTTGTAACGCTTCCGCAACATTCTTGCATTCTGGGAGAACCCGCCTGCAGCTCCTCTGTGTTGACTAAATCACAAATTCAACCAAACGAGCTACTTGGATGCTGGTTGTGGCGCATTTGCGTATTTTTAAAGCTAAACGCCAGGAATGCCCCAAGACTCTTATTATGACGCTTTCCCCCATTTGCGCTTATGCTGCCTCACCCTGTTTTTCCTGGGTTCGTGCGTTGCGTATTAGCCGGATGGCCAGCATGCAGCGGGCAGAGGGTTTCCGGTTCACCCTCGGTCCTGCTCAGGTCTCCCGTCCTCTGCCCTGTGCCCCCACAGGGCCTCAAGGTGGCAGTGATCGAGGGACATGACATCGGAGGCACCTGCGTCAACCGTGGCTGTGTGCCCTCCAAGGCTCTGCTGGCGGCCTCGGGCCGAGTCCGTGAGATGCGCGACAAAGCGCACTTGGCGGCCATGGGTGTCCAGGTGGGAGCCATGGGGTGCGGGCATGTCGGGAGGTAAGAAATGAACTCCAGGCCGTGCATTGGCATGTTCCGCTGTGAGGCTGGGCCCGAGGGAAGAGCAGTGCTTCGAGCAGCGGAATGCCCGGTCGCAGCTGGAAGCAAACTTGGAATTGGCATCAGAGTGCGGAGTTGAGGAGGATCTTGTCAGGGTGAGCCCCGCTATTGCTCCTGTCGTTGCTGCCCCATCTCCCTGCAGGTTGGCGCTGTGTCGTTCGATCGTCAGGGCATCGCCAACCACGCAAAGGACCTTGCCACCACTATCCAGGGTAACTTGCGCCGCAGCCTGGAGGCTCTGGGCGTGGTAAGTGGAGGGGTTGGAGAAAGAGGGGGTGAAGGGGCCTCTGCAAGGGTGGTCATGGTCTTATGGCGGGGTCTGATGGCGGGCGTTTGGGTATAAGGATATGGAAAAGAGTTGGATTGCGACGAGGCGTGGTGGTGAGACACATCCAGTATTATCTCCACGATGCTCGCACTGGATGATGGCACGACCTAACGAGTTTAGCGATAAGAATCGTTTCGCGGGGCGATCAGCTCGTAGGGAAGGACAGCAAACGTTTTTGCTGAGTAGCCCAGCATGCTTGGAGCATCACATTTGAGGCGAGAGGTAGGGTCTCGCGAGACACGTTGCATATGGCCGCGCCCCAGCTTTGCATATCCTGCCGTGTCGCAGCCTACAAATGCGGTGCTGAGGGTTTTGATGGCGCTATCTCGAATCCCCCGTACAGTGCATCCTGCGTGTTCGCGGCTGCACTGTCATTCCGATACCACCCCCGGTCCCGCGTTCCCTGATGCTCCCTGTCCAGGACATCCTGATCGGCCAGGCCAAGTTTGTGGGCAACCAGCGCGTGCGTTACGGCCTGCCGGGCCGCGTGGACGTGGGCGGCGAGGTCACTGCCCGGGACATCATCATCGCCACGGGCTCCGTGCCGTTCGTTCCGCCAGGTGCGTGCGTGAATCTGCCTGTGAGCCAACTCTGTGTTGCTGTAAATTGGATGTGTATGTATAATGTGAGGGCGGAGGGACACGGCGAAGATGCCAAGATCCTGATGTGAGTACCCGGTTCATACGGGGGCGATAAGGCGTGTACGTGTACGATTAGGCGGTTGGTTACCGTTGCTGTGCTGTCCCGTCAGCAGCTGTCTGCTGCGCAGCAGAGTCACAGCCTCGACCCACCAGCACTTCCCCCGGGCTGGAAAGGGTTGTGGACCTGCGGACGCGTGTAGATAGACCTTTCGGAGTCACTGCTAGCTCTGGGTGCCTGCGTGCTGGCACACGTTCGGTGCGCTCAGCCCCTTTTGTTATCCCGGCGGAGGAGCGCGTGGGCCACTTTGTGTGGTGCGGGTCCCGTCGGAGAGTTGTGGTTAGGGGCTTCGGGCTCTGGGGGACTCGTCTTGCTTCCTTACTGGGTATTGCCGGTGCATTTTAGGGTTGATCTGACCTCCCACCTTCCGCCCCGCCCCGCTGCGCAGGCATCCCCATTGATGGCAAGACTGTGTTCACGTCCGACCATGCACTCAAGCTTGAGTGGCTGCCCAACTGGATTGCCATTATCGGCTCTGGCTACATCGGTCTGGAGTTCTCCGACGTGTACACCGCCTTGGGCACTGAGGTCACCTTCATTGAGGTGAGGCCGGGCACACCGCGTCGCACGCACCGCTACGGTGCATGTCCCGCAAGGGCAGCCGAGATGTTGTGACAATACCCCCCCGTTCCGCAGTACGGTAAGGTACGTGCAACGGAATCCTTCAGATCCCTGGATCGGGCTAAGCAATCCATGCCTTGCACTTCCTTTTCGCAAATATCGACGAACCAAGATGGCATCCCGTTCGTCTTTCTCCACTATACACATCACTGTTGTGCATTGCCACAACTGCCCAGGCCCCGTTCCTTGGCGGTGCGCCTTTTCCCCCTCAGCTCTCATCAGCGCCTTTAGTTTCCACCCACCTTGACTCCACCTGACCCCCCCTTTTCACTCCTCAGGCAGTGGACAACCTGATGCCAGGATTCGACCGGGAGATCGCTCGCCTGGCTCAGCGGTTGTTGATTCAGGGCCGCCCCATCGACTACCACACCGGTGTGATTGCAAGCAAGGTCACCCCGGGCGTACCGGGTAAGGCCCTCACCTGAGGTAGCAGAGCCACAGACACTTGCGTGCTGCACCTGCTCGGGCATGCCTCGTTTCATGTTTTGCCCGCTGGTTTGGTTAAGACTCCTCCGGCGTTGTCGCTTGGAATGAGCAATAAATCTGTAACGAGTTTGTTAAACGCCGTCCTGCCGCTCTTGCATTGCACCCCGTCTGCCCGACCCGTCCGCTCGACCGCTTGACCGCTCGCAGGTGTGAAGCCGGTGGTTATTGAGCTGACGGACTTTAAGACCAAGGAGAAGGTGGACGAGATCGAGGTGGACGCGTGCCTGGTGGCTACGGGCCGGGCCCCCTACACCAACGGCCTCAACCTGGGCGCGATCAGCGTCGCCACGGATCGCCGTGGCTTCGTGCCGGTCAACGAGAAGATGCAGGTGGGTCGGGGGAAAGCAGTTTCATGCATGTTGCATTTTGGAGTCGACGCCATCGTGGTGGCTAGGTTACGCGCTGTTCGGGGCTAGGTCCCGCCCCCGTGTATCGTAGTGATCACCCGGTAGCTTGGTGCGCGCTCCGCGGTTCTCAAGAAACAAGGGAGAATGTGTGTGTATGTGTGTGTATGTGTGTGTGTGTGTGTGTGTGTGTGGCACCTTCACTTGCGTTGGGTGTAGTGAGCTCATACGAGCTCTGAGGGAGCCCATGGGCCAGGGGGCCGCGGGCTGTCCGAAATAGTCATCTTATGAAATGCACAGAAGTATGTATGTTGTTACAGGGTGGTATAGCTTCACCAGCGGCCCCCTTTCCCGAGGCAGTTCCCTGCTCTCCCCTGCTAGAGGGGCACCCTAACCCGTTCACCCCATCCGACTTCCGACTTCAGAATGTAGAAGTATGCATTTCTGACCTAATGCTACATTTAGGTGGGGAACATTTCTCCTGAGAATTACGGCCCCATTCCGTGTGTGCATGTTTAATGCAGGTTCTGGACACCACGGGCAATGTGGTGCCGCACGTCTACTGCATCGGAGACGCCAACGGCAAGTACATGTTGGCCCACGCCGCCAGCGCACAAGGCATCAGTGCGATTGAGAACATCTGCAGCCGGCCCCACGTGCTCAACCACCTGTCCGTCCCGGCCGCCTGCTTCACCCACCCCGAGGTGTCTTTCGTGGGTGTGACCCAGGTGGGTGGTACTGGTTGAGTGGGAGGCTGGGAACTGTGTTAAGTGCGTCGTAAGGAGCAAGATACACGTTATGATTGAACGGTAATAGGAGATTGTGCTCCAAGGCAGTGTGTTCCTGGCTCCGGTCAACATCTCACTGCTGCACTGCTGCTGTCGTTCAATATGTCGGTCACCACAGGAGAAGGCCGAGGAGATGGCCAAGGAGCAGGGCTTCAAGCTGGGCATCTCCAAGACCTCCTTCAAGGGCAACAGCAAGGTGTGGAGATGTTCACGCAGTTAAACGGTTCACACCCTTCTGGCGTTCTTTTCGTCGCCATGTGGGCTGCATGCTGATGGGTTTGCGGACCTATCCTACACAGAGTTGTTGATGGGCCATCGGGATAATGGACGGTGTCAACCTCCCTCCCGCGCACAGTTCAGTTCGGTTACTTTCGTACCTCCCCTTGCTGGTGTCCGTCCTTTGGTCCTCGCTGTCCATCCACCCTTGGGCGTCGGCATTTACTTTTCCTGATATTGCATACGATTCCCTCCTTTCGATAGGCCCTGGCCGAGAAGGAGGGCGACGGTATGGCCAAGATGCTGTACCGCAAGGACACGGGCGAGATCCTAGGTGTGCACATTATCGGCCTGCATGCCGCGGACCTTATCCACGAGGCCTCCAACGCCATCGCCACCGGCCAGCGCGTGCAGGTGCGGGAGGAGGGCTGGGTGCAGAGAAACTGGCTGGCTCCCGACAGTGTGGCCGTTTGTAAAGGGTGTGGGGGCCACGCTTTGAAATGGACGCCGATGGGTTCGCCGTCCGCTTCCGCTTTTCTAGCTACTTCATCAAAAGTGAAGTGCGTGGGAAAGTTGGTGATAAGGAAGAGCTATTTTAACGATGGGTCGATCAGTAGCTGGCGATATTAGAGCGATATTAGATATATTAGATTCATGTCTTGCTTGCTTGGCTGTTCTTAGGCCTGCCGGAAGAGCGGTGAAGATTACCGATGAAAAGCATGATGGCACTTCTTCACCAGAGCTTTTCCTCAATGGAGCGTCCAGCGCCGCCGCTTGCAGACCTTAATTATACATGGTCATGTTCGGCAATGTGTCGTCTGCAGGACATCAAGTTCAACGTGCACGCCCACCCGACTTTGTCCGAGGTGCTGGACGAGCTTTTCAAGGGTGCCCACGTCGACGCGGCCCAGGAGAACGGCCATGTGCCTGCGGTGGCCCCGGCGGCTGTTAAGCCACAGCCCGCGGTCGCTGCGGCCTGACGGAACACGCCTCCGGCGGCGGCCACGGCCCATCGCGACGACGGCAAAGTCGCGGAGTTGGGTGATGCTGCCCAGCACGTGCAGGCGGAGGAGGAGTTGCAGCAGGAGGGTGGGACTACCCGCCCCCGCCGCCGGGAGGTTGAATCCACCACTACTACCGCCGCTGCTGAGCAAGTGCCAAGGCAGGCAGGGGAAGCCGAGGTTGCAGACGGCGAAATTGACGAGTGTGTCAACAGCCCCCATCATTATCTGGGGGCGGAGATAAGCACAGAAGAGGGGGAGAGGGCCGAGAACGAGGACGCGGGCGTGGGCCTTGAGACAGGGGCAAGCACCGTGACGCACCTGAAGATGGAAGTTAACGGTCGGAAGAGTGATGAGGTCGCGGCGCTCGCAGCAAGCTCGAAACAAGAGCTAATTTCGACTATTGCACGTCGTGCGGGCTCGCAGGCGGTGGAGGTGCATGGTGACGATAGCGAGGCGGCAACAGCTGACGTACAGCGGTTGGCCGCCAATGACGTAGTACAGCCCGTTCAGGTGGCCGCAGTTGCGCCGTCCGAGGCGGAGGCGCTGGAAGTGTTAGCAGGAAGAGCAGCCGCTGATAAGATGGAGAGTCCACCGGCTGCTGCGACGCAACCACTGCCGTCTGCGACGGCAATCGCCGCTGTGACATCGCAAGTCGAGGCCTCTGTTGCTGCCGAGTTGAAGGCGGAATCTGTCACGCTGCTGGAGCTGGAGGTGGGGATTACGGCGCGCGCTGCTTGTTCGAATGCGGAAGCGAGGGATTTGGGTGTGGCAGGCTTGCGGACCATCACTGGGGACGTGCTGGCGGAGACAGCCGCTGTTGCTGCCGACATGCAGGCAGATGCGGCCGATCAGGTCGCTGCTGCTTCTTGGCTAGTCGCTGCGAACCTATCTCCCATTTCCGAACTTCCGTCGAAGGAAGCTGATGCGGCGGATGGTGACCAAGACATCTCCGTGTCTGCGCCGCGGACGATTGCAGCGAATGGAATCAATATTCGCCTTAATGTGAGCTTTGATGAGGGTGAAAGCGGCGGCGCTACCTTCTCCAGCAGCGACTGCAGAGGCGGAGATAGCAATCAGCGCATGCCAGCAGGCGGGCTAATGGGCGACGCGGTCGGCAATTGCCAGCGTCCGACCTATGGCAGCGATGCGCAACAGAAGCTACAAGCCGTCAAGGCCAACATACCGGTCCAGATCCCGAGTCATCCGATGGGGCTTCCCTCTGTCGCCGTGCCTGTCGCTGCTACAAGTGCAGCCGTGGATGCCGAAATCGACACCCCTAATTGGACCCGAAGTGGAGGCAAACGAAAGGCGCGCCGGCGAAGGAAGGCGGCTGTGGCTGTGCTAGCTAGTCCGGAGGTATCAGCGATTGATCAGGAAGCTCAGGGCAATGGACGACAGGTCGCGGTGAAGCAAGTGGAGAGTGTTATAGACCTCAGTGTGGAGGCAAACGTCATGAATACAGCTGCGATGGCGCCGCTCGACGCCGTGGCTGCCCAAGAATCGGCCCAGACTGATGACCCGTCAGCCGGAGTCGGCCCGGAGCTGAGCGACCTGTCACTGCCGATGGATGGTAACGCCTCTGCTGTACTCGACGCCCTTCCTGACGACGGCATGTCGGGCGCCTCGCCGGTTCTGGAGGAGTCGTTGCCCTCCACTGGTACCCAGGACGCACCAACGTTCGTTGGGGACGATAGCTCTTCGACAGAAACGAGCGGCGAACAAGGTATTATCAGCTCACAGGGGCAGCGTCTGACAGTTTCTGCAGGGCCGTCTTATGATGAGGCTGCACTATCGACGGAGGATGAGGCGGAGGCTGGCAATCGGTTTTTGGGAGCTGCGGTGATGGGGCCGGAAAAGCCTGAGCAGATACGTGCAGAAGAGTATCAGCCTGTGGAAGGGTTGGGGGGTGTTAGCACTGCATCGCTGCAGAGTGTACCGGAGCCTACGGAGCGTGAGGCGGGGGCGGCGAAAGCGGGGACGTCCGCCATAGGGATGCTTTGGCAGGCGGCCAAGTTCTTGAGCACCCTGGCCAAGCGGATTGGAAAAGGCCTAGAAGGGCAGTGACACATGTAATGCACGTCTGAAGAATTTTCGAAATATATATTGTACTGTATTGCAGTTGCCTCATAGGTAGGGTGGTGTCGCTGGGTTTTCAGAGAAGCCCAATTTTGTAACGATGCCATGTAATGCCCACTGCCCATGCGTGAAGTGTCCGCTATCGCAGCAAGTGACAGGAAAAAGCACTAGCTCGCAGCATTAATGTGCCTTTCTTACGAACATATAACCGGGTTTTTCACGAAGGCAGTGGTACGGGCGCGCTACGAGTTGTCAAAGCCGTTTGAGGATCAGCGTGGCAGCAGCAAGGACGTGCCATATGCAGCACCTGGAGTTGGGTGGGAGTCCGATGTGCAAAAGAATTAATGCCATCTTCAGGGCTATGTTCCAATATAGAGGTGGTCTTCGTATGGGAGTGGGGGCGACCGGGCGAGTTGCGGCCCACCACTGAAACGCATACACCAATTGGCCTTTTACCACCGTACGACAAGTACGACACACACATTTTCAGTCTTTCCAGCCAATTCCAAAGATAACACCGATGCAGGTCGAAAACTAACAAATCCCTGTACAAAGCGCATGTCAATTTTATAAAGTACTGTAAGAAACGGGGAATGTGTATTACCCCATTCGAGCCTGGGGCCCGAAGGCCAGCCGAGGACTGACCGAAATAGATAGTTATCATATAAATTCAGAGGGAAAACTATTATCCTATCGCTCTGAGAGGGAAATGGTGTCGAACAAACCTCGCTTGGGCGGATAACTGCCTCGTGGGTAGGTGTCGGGGTTCAACTTCTCTCTGCCCAGCACACAGGCCTGTAATGACTGCATGCGCCCCTCTGCACCCTTGTCACCAGCTCCAAGAAGCTGAGACCCTACTTGTCAGGGAGGACGTTAACATAAGTAAAAATGGAAGACCGCAACCAAGGAAAGGCTCTGACCGCGAAACGCCGCAATGCACCCCACCTGCTGAAACCATGGTGAACAAAGGTGAAGACCAAACCGCAGAGTGCAGGCAAACACGAAACCCTCCAAGGGAACACCTTCAGAAGTGAAGAAGTACAACTCAGCAAGCCCCAACTTACCTTGCGCCCATGGATATACGTGCGAGTTACGAGACTTGCCATCCGAGGAGAAGCTGATTCCGTAGGCAGCGGTGCCTGGGGGCATGAGCTCCAAACCCTATGAATCACCGGTTGAAGAACGATCACCCCGAACAGATGCAACGACGAGGAAACCAAGAGGAGATTATGAGGCGGTCAGGTCTAATTAACCGAATGATTACCAAGGGAACACCTATAAGCAAGGGACGACAGAGTGGAAAGAGAATTATTGACCTGTACACTGACGAAATCTACTATGAAGTCCTCGCGAAGAAGCCACCAACTTGTTATGGGGCCATAGTATTATCGCTGTACGTTTGTGACACGGCAGGCCAGGCAGACAGAGCATGAACGATGATTTGTCTGCAAGAAAGTGTATCCACATGACACCCATAGCCGGTTAAGTATCAAAAGCGCTGTCTACAGGATTCGAACCTGCGCGGGAGAACCCAGTGGATTTCAAGTCCACCCCCTTAACCACTCGGGCAAGACAGCATGCTTGAGGAGCATAAGTAATGGAAAACACCAATGTAATAAACACGCACATGTATGTTTGCGTCCTCCGCGTGCACACGCCCTCCGCGTGCACACGCCCTCCGCGTGCACAGCAGCAACGAGGGGGGCTTTCGCTAGCACCTCCCACGAATGAGAGCAACAAGGTTCTTCCAATCCTCCAAGAAGGTGTGACACGTTAGGTGCATCGCGGAGTTTCTACCAAAAATGCAGCCTTCATCTTCATTGGGCCCGCAGTTCGCTCCCATGCTGCTATAACCATATATGCGCGAGTACCCGACTGCAGGCGTAGCCTGTGCATCATATGGAACAGCATATGCATTGCACGACACGTACTTTGGCTGGCTCGTCTCAGCGCCTTGTCGGTCGCGGGGCACCACCAACAGGGAAAAGCGACTTGGCGAGCATGGGAAATCTAGTTACGTGTTGATTAAGGGAATTCAGTAAGGGAATAATGTGGATTCCAATACACGTGTCATGAACTTAGATAATTTGTGAAAAAGGTTTAAATTTCCTTAACAACTGACAGTTGTATGACAGTTGTGTGGCAAGGAAATGCTTCTCACAAAAATGTGTAAGGCTGTGCGCAATATGTTTTGGTGGTGGTGGATAGAATTAGCTCACGACTTACTTTGAGAGCTGACAGAGGAATGGCCCAGGAGCTTGCGGGTTAATCTTTTTTCCATCTCCTGTACCGTATGGTGAAATCAGGACTTGCTCACATAAGTGATATATGCCATGTATCAATGCCAAACAAGTTCCGGTACTATATTCAGCGATGCCGAACTGCACAAGGGCTTTGCTGTCCGATTACTTCCCGGCAAAGGCCGCCACCTTGTCGCAACACGGTGGTTCAACCCAGGCGCCGTTGTCCTGCAGCAGGATCCTTACGTATCAGTCCTTTCAGATGAGCGGACGCCAGGTTTCTGCGATTTTTGCTTCCGGCCCTGCGAGCGGCCGCTGCGATGCACCCGCTCCAAGCTGGCCCGATACTGCTGCAAGGAGCATCAGCGCTTAGCATGGGTGGCTGGCTACAAGATGGAATGCGAGGCCCTGGTGCGGTGTGCTCCGCGCGTGCCGCCACCGACGGTCCGCCTGGCCGCTCGCCTGCTCTGGCGCCGCGCAAGGTGTGGGGGCATTAACGTCCGACTGCCTTGGTGTTTTTAACGCACTTTCATCATGCAACACGGCGGGTCAGTGGCGCAATGACGGGAGGGCAAACACGTCGGGAACCGCGTCAGAAGTACCGTACCTGTGTAGAACTAGTTCAAAGGACAGAGGATGGCGCGCGGGTTTGCTTGGTGGTGACGGCTATGCGGTGCAAAGGCTAGCTAACAGTACATCCGTAGGAGAAGGTGTATGTTCGAGCAATGATGGAGGAAGCGATTCGGCCGCTCATTGCTTTGGCAGGTGGCAGGCAAGCAGGGGATGGACCTTTGCAGCTTGATTGATCCTTTACGACTGAAGGTCTAAACTGTGAGCTGGGTTTGCGACGGAACGCGACAGCCATAGCCCTCAACGGCCGTTCCTGGATCAGCACTGTCGCATGAGGCCTTCCAGTTGCAACCCTTTTTGCCTTTGGGACCTTCCAGATGTTTGAGCAGCAGCAGCAGCAGCCACAGCAGCACCCGCAGCAGCAGCAGCAGCAGCGCCAGCAAACTCCTGAGCAGCGGCAAACCCCGCAGGGTCCTGCCGCTTGCCTCCATGACCACCATCAGCCTCCATTGGACTCGGACCACGAGGGCCTGTGGCGTTTGGAGCACCACTGGGACGAACTAGATGACCGCCGGAAGCAGCTATACGCGCAAATGGCCGTCGTGACCTGGTGGGTGGCTCGGTGGGTGGCTGCGTTGCAACTGCAAGTAAACTACTTATATGTCGGTATAGCACCAAGATCCTCCTCCCAGGCCTCTGGAAGACGTCCGTGTGCTTGCATGAACACGAAGCTCACGTGCCTGTTAAAGACTCTTGCGTCTTGGCGCGCAGGCAGTACATGTACGGCACACCGGATGGACCCTGTCCAGTGCAGGACAGCGACGGTGTCGGGGACGCGGTTGTCCCCGGCGCCGATGCAGCAGCAGGCAGCCGGGGGCCCCAGCAGGGCACGTGGCCTGGCTTTCGGACGGTTGCACAGCTCCTGTCCCTGCTGTCATGCAACTGCCACACGGTGTGCGACGAGGAGCTGCGGCCTCTTGGGGTGGCCCTGTACCCCACGGGCGCGCTCGTCAACCACAGCTGCAGTCCCAGCACCGTGCAGACCTTTCACGGTAGCACACTGGAGCTAAGGTGAGCACGCAAGCATGATCAGAAGCCCGAAGGGATGGGACGCTGAAGGTGGGTTTGCTGGGCGCTGGGCAGGGCCTGCTTGCACCTCTGATACCGCCGGTGCCTCTCGATTCCTAGGTGCCTTCATGTTGGGCTTCCTGGACGGTGCCTTTGGGAGTCAAGAGCTCAAGAGCTAGCTGTCCATGCAACAGTGCAGGCCCAGCACCTGCGCCACGGCCATGCCTGCTGGTCCTCCTGCCTGCAGAGCCCTGCGTCAGCTGGCACCCGGGGACGAGATAACCATTGCCTACATTGAGTTGGCGGCCACACGCCAGGAGCGCCGAGAGACATTGGCGGACTCCTATTTCTTTGACATCAACGCGGGCAGGAATGGGGGCCTGCCGCCTGCTGCTGCTGCTGCAACTGAAGTCATGCCGCCGGCACTTTCACCGCCGGTACCTCCTCCCGAGGGCTCGGAAGCAACAGCGTCCGATCAGCCGATGGAGGTGGACTGCGGCACAACCGCGGCTGCTGCGCAAGGGGCCGCTGGTAGCACCAGCGGCAGCAGCGAGGACAGCGGTGCAAGGCGTGGTGGTGATGGGCGCAACAGCATTCTCCGTATGGTACGGCTGCCGCCGCTGCTGACGCTGGACGTGGGGACTAACGCACAGTTGCATCTGTACTTTGCACCGCCAAGCGACCAGCCGCCCTGGCTGACCGACCCACGGGACGGTGAGCTCACCCGAGTGGATATGCCCTGCGGAACCCTTGCCGAAGGTGAAAGCAACTCTGCGCTGCAGCTCCCCGGGGGCCTCCTGGCGCGGCTGGTGCCCCAGCGGCCGATTGAGCCCGAACAGGAGGAGCAGCACGAGGAGGAGGAGGAGGAGGAGGAAGGGGAGCAGCGACAGGAGGAGGACGTCAGCAAGGGCAGATACGGCGCCGGGCCCTCGAGTCGTGTGCCGGAGGGGCAGCGAGGTGACGTGTACCCGGGCGCTGCAAAACCTGTCAACGGGATGGGCTCGGGGCCGCAGTACGCACTGGCGGAAACGGTGGTGGATGGCGATGGCGAGGTCGAGACCTGGGCTACGAATGCGAGCGCCAGGCCGCGCCTGCAGCCACCAAGATTGATGTTGCCCAGCGTGCCAGGGCCCTCCACACCTCGCATTGAGCTGCTGGCCTGGGGCCCATGGCTAGCGGACCTGGTGCGGGCTGCGGGGGCAGGACCAGCGGTGCTGACCAAAGGCCAAGACGGAAAAGGGACAGGGACTGGGCTGGAGTTAGAAGCGAGTCTGGGGGATGAAGGAGTTCCCAGTAGCTGCACAGGATGTCCCCTCCATGCTTCTGGAGGGGAGCCCGCCATGCCGCAGCCTGGGACAGCCCCGCAGGCCGCTGTGGTGGTGGGCCTTGTGCGGCGCTGCGTGACGGCGCTTCAGCTGTCCCACCAGGCGGACATGGCTCTCAGAAGCAACGAAGCAGAAGAGGTGAGATGTGGGTGCACGAGGTGTAGCGCACTCATGCATTGGAAGGTTCCTAGCGTGCGTTGAAGGGTATGGTGGGGGTGACGAACGACAGGGCCTTACTCGCAGGCTTGAGATGCCACGTCACCATGCTTGGTGCGCTGCCTGCTCCTGTGTTGCAACCACCCGCAGGCTGTCAGTATGTTGCAGCGGGCACTCGGCCTTCTGGACGGGGCATACAAGCTGGGGCTGCACCACGGGCATCAGAACAGACAACCCAGTCTTGCGCATAATGCGGCAGGCTCCAACGTGTCATTATCGCTGGCAGCCAATCATGTATTGCGGCTGCGGCTACGGGCGCAGCTTCTTAAGGCGGCCATCGACTGGGGGAGCGCCAGCGGCGGCGCCTGGGACATCGGTGTGTCTGTCAGCTCTGCTGGGCACCCGTGGAGGATTGCGCTGCAAACGGCTCAGGCATTGGGGCCACAATACGAGCTGTGCTACCCGCACCCCGCCTGGCCCAACCTTTCTTTACATTACGCGATGTTGGCTAAGCTGGAGATGCTGCTGGGCCGGCCACGAAGGGCTCTGAGAGCGGGAAGCCGGGCCCTGGAGGGCTTACGGCTGACGCACGGTGGAGGCAGGGAGGAAGGTGGCGTCATGGGGCAGATGCTACGGACGGTGCGTGAGGCGGAGATGGAACTGCAGACGCAGGCTCTGAACGGGGTTCAGGTCGCGGGCAGAGGCGAGGAGGATGAAATGCTGGACAATGATGGCAGTTAGGGCCTTAACCGTTGTTATTGGCAAAACCGGCCTTCAAAATCTGTATATCCTGAGGCTAAGTGAAGCTTAGCAATACGCGCATCTGGCTGAGGCGCGTAACTACTGCGCGGTGTGACTGTGAAATGCAAATGCAGTTGGCGCGTGCAGGGTCACAGTTAGACGATGGAGGGTCACACGGAATCTCAAATCGAGTTTCATACACTATTTCCGTAACTCCGTTCACATGGGGAGCTTGTATCTCCTGTTCCTGCGGATTTCCGAGTCGCCTTCACTCCTACAAATCAAGCGCCCCTACACGTTGGATGCGCTGGAGACAGCAAACACATTAGCACGCTACAGTGCCGGGATACAACCCGAGGAAAAACCTGAGTCACAACAAAACAAACAGGGCAATCGCCAACAGAGTCGGTGAATCGCGATGCACACGCACGCGCCCATGTGTGTGTGTGTTACATGGTTGGGGGTGCGTGACCCCATACCTGTAAAACTACCCATACGAGCCGAAGGCCCAAGGGCAATACTACAACGCCTAAAAGCCACGGAGAAAAGGAAACACCGCACATCAGCCCAGACTAGCGTCCAAAGGGGGTAATTGAGTTTCGGTGAGCCCACATACGTTCCAACATCCTCGCCAGACGTGCGGGTTCCCATTGCATGGCCTCCAACATACTCTGTTGATGATCGAATCCCTCTTCAGCACGAATATCATTATAAGCTGGGCATTCAAATAACACGTGTTTTTCATCCTCGATTCGGCTATTAGTACCACAACAGCGGCAAAACCGCTGCCCCGGGGACATGGTACTTGCCTCTTCGTGCTCTGTTTGCCTCCAGAGCCAGCAACATAAACGAAACTGCATTAGCTTACGACGTGCTAAACGAGGAATGAAAACCTTAGCATGTGTTGGCCACATGACGGCTGCGGCTCCTGAAAAGGGCAGCCCCATCCAGTGCTTATACCTCCAAGAAGGAAAACAGTCGTAACATGCGCCCATGTGTCAAACCAGCCCGCCACTGCGTATCAATACAGCCTGCCCAGGCCTGCATCGGCGACTAGCATAAAGGAAATATAGCGATGTGCGGATTGGGTTACGCTCATAATAACCCCAACATCCCAAGGGCAACATCGTTGCATTCTACACCACTTGCCCCGGAGCTGCACGTGCTTCTGGAACACATCAGGGTGACTGGGGACTTCCCACGGTGGTTTACGACCTCCATCCTCACCCCAACTTACAAGAAGGGTGACCCCAGCATGCCGAGTACTACCGGAGAATAGCGGTTGGAGGCGCTTAGGCACCGAGGCCAAGCGGGTTTCAGAAGAGGGTTTGGTGCTACTCATCATCTCTTTGTCAAGCAGTACCGTACTGCTATGCATAGCCAACCTGGACAGCAGCCGTCAAATGTTGTGCAAATTGACTTTGAGGCGTTTGATAAGGTGCCGCAGAAGGTAATGTGGCTTCGTTTGCAGGAGAGAGGGATTGAAAGGAGCTGCAGCTGCAGCTGCTGATGCGGGAGTACGACAAGGTTACAATGCTCGTCTTGATGAGCATTTGGGGCAAATTTGAGTCAAAACAGGGTGTAAAACAAGGCTGTCCGCTTGTCAACTGAGCTGTTAGGCCTTTTCAATAACGCTTGCGGACGCCATCGATATGCATGAGGGTGTTTACACCAGGGCGCGGCCGGAGGATGCACCGAAGGTTGGCAATGAGCGAGTGTCCATCCTCCTCTATGCTGATGAGCGCATGGCGGAGCTGCTCAAATTCGTGGGCATGTTCTGTGGTGATTTTGGGATGCGGTCAACTGCGTCGAAATGTGAACGCCTCGTTTTTGCGAGTGACAGCGACACAAGGAATGCCGTTCAAGCATCGTGTAGTGAGCTCAGGCTGGCTGTTGAGTAGGGTGCGCGACATCTGGGTTTAGTGTGGGTTTTAGTGTCAGAACTGCCGTTTCGTGCATGCCGCCACCAGTTGTACAACACAGCTATGGCAGCTATGTTCGCCTGAGTAAAAAATTGGATACGCTTAAGTTGTTCGGCCCGGATGTGAGGATCGAGCGGTGCAGCTCCTGGTATCGTTCATGGGGCAAATTGTGAGAGCTGCCAGGTCAGCGCCTCCTCCGGCTTTGCTGTTGGGCATTGGCGGCAAGCAGTGCGCGCGATAGACGGCTTTATGTACCTAGGGAGGAGCAGGTATGCCACTGCTGCGGCACTGATAGCCACATTGAAGATGAGAAGCACGTCTTGCTGGATTGTCCGGTGTACGGCGAAATCAGATGATATGGATTTCCCACGCTTTGAGCATATGAAGGCTACTATGAAGTGGGAACCTGAACGTCTAGCGAGGATGCTGGAACGTATATGGTCCCACTGCAACTCTATCGTTCCCTTTGGTCATTAATCTCCTTTATCACTTGCTTTACCTGAAGTGCGAGGTGGGATGGTGCTTATAGACGATCTGGCAGCCCTTGAGTCCTTGGCTCGTATTGGGCGGTTTGCAGGTACGGGGTACGCATCCCCACGACCATGTAACACACATACACATCCACATCAACACGTGAATGCTCGATGTCGCGCCTTAGTGTATTGCGCCGGGGCCATATCCATTTGTCACTACCTTATAGGCAATGTTTTTCAATTCATTCGCGCGTGCAATACGCGCTGGCGCGAATCCGGTTGCGTCTCACTCCACTCGCTCATTCAGACCCCTGCAGCGCAAATCACCTGTCTGCACATCCTGCAATGTAATCGTACTGCCAAGGTTCCTGCTATCAATAGTCCCAATAACAACGAATCAATACCATCAAGATACGGCACGTAATGAAAAACTGGATTTTACGAAATGACAACCATGCATACGTACAAAGGCCTACGGAGCCCATCTGGCCACATACGCGCCTGCCTGCCCCCGTGACAGCTACCTAACCTCGAAGCCAACTCCTGCCAATGAAATACTACAACCTCACCATCGCCAAGCAGTCATTTGCCGAGACGATTCGCAAATACAGAAATGAAGGCCCCGCCCTCGAGTCGAGTTCGTGATTTCCGTTGTTAGACAGTTGCTGACTATCACGCGGAAAAGCGTAGTACTGTTAGGCCAGTGTCAGACAGCGAGTGATCAGCCGTCAAGCGCAAGGTCAAACAGTACCCAAAAGAGCCTTTTCATGGCCCCGGCCACCAGCGTCCTGTACTATCCTGGGCATATCACTGGATCTGCATCCACCGTTCGGTTCTTTTCTGAAAAAGTCGTGACATAATAATTGTACCGATCGGCGGATGCAGATCCCGTGATATGCCCTCCGGGATACTACACGTCCTGACCCATGCATTGCCACCCCTCATTGTCCGAACTTATGTGCTCCCATTCTCGTGCTAGTTGTCCGTAACTCAATCCTTAGCTGACTGTCGCTGGTCGTCGGCTGTAGTCAATGTGGTCCGACTGGTAAATCGTTTTCCATTGCCGTTCAAAGGTGTTCGTTGCTTTGAGGCCCTCCCGAACCTTAAGCGTCCCCTCATCCTCAAACGGCAACGGCTTATTGCGGCTGAGTACTTGAGATCGCGGGTCTGCAGTACGGCAGCAATGGTACGACATCGGGAGGTTAGAAGACAAAGTCGCCTCACGCGGTGAGGGTGTGCGTAAATATCGGGAACTAGCCAGGAGTTGCAAATCTATGACAGGAAGGCATCACAACCTCGGCAGCCCGCGCAGCCTCGCAGCCTGGTTGGGGGACTTTGCTGGGCCGTCCAAGCATGTAATGAACTTCCGCTGGCCTATTTGGTCGGCAGCCGGCTCTTTCATAGGTTGACTCCATTGTTCGTTTCCTACCTTCAGATTTGCATCTCCGCTGGAACTCCAACGTTTCCCGTCGCATCGTGCTGTGCGTGACGGTGTCGTGCTCCGCAGGTGCCGCAGTACCCACCCAGAAGCTCCCCCTGCACAGCCGAGCGCCGCCGTTGAATGCAGCACGAAAACGTATTATCGACGGAAACTGATAAGGGCACCCAGCGGCTTGGGCAACACCTTAAATCGGAATCGGTCTGACAAACCACCGCAGTCCCCCCAACTATTTCCCGGTGGGCAGGGATGGGCAGCAATACCTAACATTTTTTGCCACGTGAACCCAGTGGCCCCAGAATGGAAACCTTGGGATTGTGCCTATGAAGCGAGCGCACGCTTCTGTGGAGGCGTGTCATAATCTGAATTGACTGAACAGATCTTATTGCGAGCTCCAACTCACTTTTTTCAAGTCAGCTTCCTAACTATTTGTATTAATCGTTATCATGCCATCATATAACGTCCAAGGCGCACCTTTTGGTTTCCGTCGTGTGATCCTGGTGCGGGCTGACACCAAACCCATCCTTCACGTAAAACACGTGCTCGCCGCTTGTCTCATACGCCTTCTTGGGGAATACCGGGTCAGCGATCCCAGTGGGCCCGATGCGTGAGAGCCCTTGGAACCGGGACGACGCGTTGTAGGTCGACGTCACCCGGTCCACAAACTCCTGGGAGCTGGGCAAGTACCGAGTACTGTACTCCGTGGCGAAGCGACCCCCGCGGCGGAGCTCCTTTGGATGGAACCCTGGAAGGCCCCCAAGCAGAAGGAAAGGGGGCCGTGAAATGAGATCAAGCGGGTGGGAGGATTGAGCGCCTATAGGGTGCCTAGAAGCATGGGGGTTACCAGCATGGGGACAGCAGTATCAGGAATGAATTGTTGCTCTGGAAAAGGTCATACTCGCCGTGAAAATTTAACCCTCGTTCCGCAGGATTGAAGGATTCGGCGGGATTGAAGTATATTCGGCAGCCCGTGCCGCTCAGATGAGAGGTTCAGGTGGTCAGCAAGTATCAGCATCATCATTAATGGCTCTACCTGACTTGTAGTTCTTGTCCCGCCGCTCCTGAACCCAGTTGTTGATGCAAACCTCGTCGTTATACTTTGGGCCACCATCGTACGGCGTTGTGCTCAGATAGTCAGCATCACGCTTGTACCTGGCGTGGGGAATTGAGGGAGGTTGTCTGTCACTACGTGCGAACGAGCATGCACCGCAATGGAAACGACGAACGCGAGTACCAATTATTCGAAAACTCAATGTATTTGTTGCAGGCCCAAGTGCAAGCGTTAATGCACGCAAGTGGCATGGCCGGTGCTGAGGATGCATGGTTGAGACACATAACTACAGTCAGGGGTAAATCCATGACCATCACCCCAAGCGTTGCAAGGCCCTATGGAAACGCACCGTATGACGTTCACGTTGATGTGCGGCCCGCCGTCTGGTACATTTGTTGGAAGGTATCGACGGACCCCTGGGATGGCTGCCCAGTCCTGCATCTTGGGGTCTTGCATGAGCTTTGTGTGGTCCAGTGCACGGGTGCGCGTACGGTACGTCGACACTTGAGCCAAGTAACTGCGTTAAGGTTAGCGGGTAGGTAGGTTAATCAATTGCTTCTATTGGATGCCACAACACGACCCCAGCAAATGCATGAAGACTACTCGCAGCGTTGAACAGATGGAGCGCACGCCATGAACATTCGGCGTTTGTTCCGCTGTACCGAGTTGCAGCTAACATTGACAATGACAGGACGTAAGTATATCCTGCATTTTTAAATACTTACGGTGATTGTGCTTGCGCTGACCGCTCACGGTCCACCGCTTCATGGCGCGCCCTCTCCAGCCGAATGGAGTTGGTGGCTGTGACAATTCGAAAAATGGGCACAGACTTGCCTTAGATGCTTTTTGGCCCAGTGGTCCATAGTGTACAATGAGAAAGGCCAGTGCGCAAACGCCTGACAGGTATTCCCGCGGAAGGGCAGGGAGGAGAACCAGGGCCTCCTAAAAACCTTATACACGACGCGGAATGAAAATACAGGTAGTACTTACTACGGAGATTCTCCATTGCGTCGCCCATGGCGATTGTTTTAAGTGGCACTAGGATTGTGTGCTATTATTTTAAGTTCACTTATCAAGAGAAGCCCTATGACTTGAGCGGGAACTATAACAGATAAGTATGCTGAAATGAAAGGCGGGTTGACGAACTTCTTAGAATAACACAGACTGGTTTTATATAGCTCGACGTTTCAAGTGCAAGTACGGCTGATGCAACCTGCAGGTGTACGAGCAAAGCGTGCCATTGTAACTGAATGAACTGCGTTTATTTTGCCATTTGATACCACTATACAGTATGGGCCTAAAAGAAGCCTGGGCTAGCCTTGGGAAATGGGAGCGGCGTTCAGCGATTTTCGGATTTGTGTTGATTGCAGCTGCAGCGGGGATGTATGTAAGTACTAGGTCAAATTGTTTTAGCTGGCAAGCAGGGCTTCCGACCGCGATAGACCGCAACGCACCATTCTGAGGGCCCTATCTCCGGCGCGCAGATTGACACCGAGTTCATTAGACCCGAACATTACCGTGCTCTGTGGCAAGAAGAGCGGGATAGGAGGTGGGCTAAGGAAGTCCACGACCTGCTCCGGCCAGAGCACAGCACTGCGGCCTCTCGGGCGAGCAAGGACCCCTGACGGCCCTCGTGGCCATGAGTCCAGTGGCAGTGGCGCCAAGGACTCTCAAGAAACGGGCAGGCCTGAAGCCCAGCTGCCTTTGGCGATGAGAGTCCTGGCATTGCTACGACACCTGGGTTCGGGAGCGGAGCTACCCGGAACTGCTCCTCCGCTTTCGGCCAGCAGGCAAACGCAGGTGTGCTTGTGGGGGTGCAGAGCTGATGTTCACTTCGGGCGAAAGGACTGAGACACCTGCTTACAGGACACCTTGCCAGGTTACCGGCAGCCTTGCTTTCAGGTGCGCTGTTTACCTGATATCAGCTCACCTTGCCACGGTATCTGCGAAGCTAAAGTACATAGCACAATGCCCGTTCTGTCACGGTCCACATTGCAGAGTCATTGAACCACCCAACACCGCTAGTACATGACATCCGGCAGTTGTGGTGTCTACCCGCTCTGCCATCCCCTGGCTAATGCAGGCAGCTGAAGCCTAGGCTTTGTTGCGAGTAAGTCATGGTACGTCGGCACCCCATGACTACAAACTTGTGGGACGAAGTAATACCGGCAGCGGCTGACGTGCGCTCCACGGGCATCGCGAGACAGATGGACGCGAGACAGATGGGGTGCAGTAGTCTGGTCACTGTGTGTGCGGGTCGCGCTCGTTAGGGCGTTGCACATGAGCCGTTCGGGGTCCACTGTAACTACTCTATTCAGTTCTGCAGTCACCGTTGCCGTATATCCAGACTCCAAAGCTTGGTTGTCAGCGGCGGAGGCTGCCCGAACATTGTTGCCAAGACGCATAAACAACGCATCAACAAGATTTTATTGTCAGCTTCCAACCGTTCACGAACAATTTGCTATCCTGTCTTCATGGCGAGCTTCAATTCCGCAACAACACGGAGTTGCAAGGAAAGGTCTCCGGAAGGAAAACCTGTTAAGAACGAAAGCCACCCCTACCTGCTACTGTCTTCTTCTGCCCGTGTTTCCAAGCGGGCTACGAAGTGCGAACACGCTGATATGGGTCACAAGTAAAACGACGAACCCTCATGGCATGCACCTGGGCTTGAGACTGCAATACCATAAGCATAA